ATACAAAGAATAATTAGTTTCGTGTTTGATTCTAGATATCGATAAAAGTCTTGGTATGCACATTTGCCTTTTCAAAAAAGTAGCGCAAAGGAGTAGGTTAAAATTAAAAATTTTAAAATAGTATAAAATAAAATATACAATTTATATAATACTTTCGTACAGAGTGTTTATCAAGACAAAAGTTTGGGCAAAGGAATTTGAAGAAAGTCTTTCATTCTCATTAAAAGCAGCTAAATTAAAAATCAACTGAACAAGAGTAATTGGCTCCTATCAAAGAAGCATAATTCGTAAATAATGCTATGATTATAAATAGATCTAATTTAGTATTGCCCCGTGAACTCAACCTTATGTCACTATTCATGTTGCACAAAATTTTACAGCTTGATACGTTAAAATATTTTCAAATTATAAACCTTTGCTGACATCTGAAGTAATATAAATTGCATTAATTAAAAATAAATTAATTGTTCCAATTGAAAATAGAAAAAAAAATTGTTAACAATCGTTGAATTATAAAGCAACTCAGTTTCCTATATCAATAATATACTTTTATGTACATATACGGAAAAAATATAAGTTAATTTGTAAACAAGATGAAGTTGTTTTCAAAAATGAGATTCGATCAATTGATCTTGTTAATATTTAATTTAATTTTATTTTTAAAAATCATCCTTTCTTTTTTGAAAATTTCAAATAATCATCCTTTAAAATTTCGAACAATGAAATAAAAATATGTGGCGCTAAATTTAAAAAAAAACAAAATTTAAAGAATAGAGCTAAGAATTGAACTCTATGTAGCCTTAGGTGGTCCATTAAATACACGTTAAAAATTAAATTTTCATTAAGATGTTTTTTTTTTTGTGATTAGAATTTTTATAGTATGTGGAAAAATAATAATATAGGTATGAAAGATTTTACATAAACGCGTGCGTTTAATATGATCATAAATGGGTATGCATATATACTCGTATGCATGTACGTTGGAAAAATTTTAAATTCAGTTGGAAATTATCTGCAGGGCAAAACAAGATATGCCTTCAATTTGAAAATAATATACAGCAATTTCTTAATTTAACTCATAATTTGAATGTTACTCTATAAATTCAATATTTGATATTTATGGTTCAAAATTATATTCCGAATAAAAATTTACGCTCAAACGATATTCGAGCAACTTTGCTTATGTCTTTTGGTAAAATTAAACTTCCGATCCGACATTTACAAAAAGAAAAAAATTAAAACATAATTCTTTTAAAAAAATTCTCACAAGTATATAAAATGATTTTTATATGAGGTATGTAATGTGTATGCGGATATATGTCATATATTATGATAAAATTAATTCATAATACGTGCATGGGACGCATATATATTTACACGATAATTGTTTGAGGAAAAAATTTAATTTACACCTGACCGGCTTTTTGTTTGTGAAAGATTTTATCACAAAATTTACATTAATAATTTATTTAAAATTTCAATTGCTAACAAATTAATGAAATACCAACAAAAATTTTAAATCTAAAAAGGTATTTGAAACTATTATAGACTATTCGGATCATAGATTTGTGAGGTGGTAGCTATAGGAGTTTTTCTAAATGAAAATTTACTAAATCATCCATCAGAATGTGTGTATTAATTATTCATAGAATAGGATGTTGTCGGTAATATTCATCTATATTCAAAAGTTTGAATGAGTTTGATCCTGAGACCAGTTGTCATTCAATCTTTGTCCCATTATAATGAAAAAGATTACTCTTACATATTTCGCATTTCAAATGTAAATTCATTTTTATCTCAGAAATAAATTTTGAGAGCAACGAAACAAAAAAACAAAAACAAAACGTAACACATAAAATTTTTCTCACAGTTGTGTGTCATTCAGTCACCGTTTCTTTATATACTTGTTGAACATAACATGTTCTGCCTATAAATGTTCTCTTAGTGTATAATTTTAATCTGATTGCAACAGATTTTTATTTATGTAAAATATTATTTTTACTTTTATTACGTAATTTTTCAATATTATCCGTATTTATATTATCTAGAATTTAAACAATAAAGGAAAAAAAATCTTGTCAAAGTGTCTGTTACGCTCTTATAAAATAAAAAGTATAGGGTGAGTATACCGCAATTATGTACATATGTAAATATTTTTCAGTGGAATAAATAAACATAACCTTCCAACTAGTTCCATACCAGCATTAATATTGGTAATCTTATGTTTGGAGTGCTACATATCGACTCTTAAATGGAAAGTATGAATAAAATAATCTAATTTTAGTATTACGGTACGTTTGAAATAAAATATTTTATTTTGCATAAATACAGGCAACTTAACTGATTTTATAAAGAGAGCTTACAATATTCACTTCGAATACGAAGAGTTCTGCAAAATCTGTTACTATATTTTTTATTTCTCTACTAAGTGATTTTCATATAACCTTTTTACTTTTTGACTCAGTCAATCTGCTATGGGTTCATATACTCTTAAACACACTGTACTTATATAAGAGTATTCTAATAGCTATATAAAATTATAATCACACTTATGCATACAAAAATTTTCAAAAAATTGACAAAAAAGAAAAATAATAATAAACCAGCTTATTTTCATTCAATCAATCATCTCTCATTTAGGTGAAAATATTTCCAGTACACCCCATTGTAAGTGTAACGTTTATAAACAAACCATTAAATCAAAAGAGCACAACAACACTGCACTCTACAGTTAAAATAATAAAAAGCACGCGGTTTAAGCCAGTAGCCCGGTAATAAACTATCCAAAGCTAATAAAATGAAAATAAATTTTTTTTTGTCTTTTTAGAATTATGTACCTATGTACATATTAAAAATTCAATAGAATGGAACAAGTCTAAATTCAGTTAAAGGAAATTTGAAACCAACAATGACCTTTGGATACAAAATATAATAAGAAGAAAGAAAACAAAAAGGGAAGAAAAGAAAGATTAGGTTTATGAAAAATTCGATTCATTTGATCTCATCTTTTTTTACTCTACGTATTTATGCTATTACGATGCTGTTTTTTTTTTGTTTGTTTGTAAAACATCTACTTATTATACAACATAATGTTAGCGATTTAACGGAACAAAGATTTACTTTACTAGCGTATAAGAGCAGAAAGAATATATGTACGTAGTGTATTATGTATATATATAATAGAACATAATAGAACAAATAGATAGACAAAAGAGTAACAAGTGCAATTCATAAAAGTGAGAGAAAAAATCAAGAAGAGAGGTGAAGTAATAAGAGTATACCTTAAATATAAAATAAAAATATAATTTGATTTTATTTGGCGTGTTGTTGGAACATGTAAAATTCTATTAGGTAATTCCTTAAGCACGCAATGAAGAGCCACTTGATTCGTAATCGTTCCGTAATAACAAACTCGTATGTATTAATATGACTACATACAATAACATATACTTTTATACATATGTATGTAATATGTTTATAGAAAAGTTATTAAAGAATAATGATAGCCGTAGAAACCCTATGCTTATTTTTTGTTCTCATAAGTTTTTTTTTCTTCGTGTTTAATTTTCTTTATACTTCTTATTATTTTTTTTAAGTTTTTTTGGATGATTTTAGAGATTTTAATTTTCCTTTTATCCTAAGATATTATACAAATCTAACTAATAATCCGATAGTAAGATAGATAAAAGGAACGGGCGAGAAAAATCATGGCCAACTATAGACTTACGTCTCGTACAAAATGGCTGGTATTTCTCCGACAGGAGGATACATAATTCTTTCAGACTACGAAATTACTGAATGCAAATGCTAAGGGTTTTAGATTTTTAAACAATTTGAGTTAATTGCTTAAAAATCTTTAAAAATGTTTGAGAAGAGTAGTAAGGAAGGGGTTTGGTGGAGCTGGGCCGCGATGTCCTATAAGAGATAAGACATATGGGTGAGCCTACATTATTATTGCAAAGTTTTTCAATCTGAAATACATGCTGTTATAAACTACTGACTTGATGATGTTGAGGACGACTGACAAGGCATATCATCCGCCACTGGTTAGCGCATCGGCCACCAGTTACCCCAATGTGCTTCTGACTGTGGCCCGGAGCTTCAGCCTGGGGAGGGTTAATTAGAAGTAGCAGGTTACCATCAATGGCCACAATTTCAAGTTATGTTATTGGTTTAAACCTGTTTACTAACACTGGTGAACCTTGTATCCACAAACAAAACAACGCACGACTAAAATAACAAGACATATTGAGCATGGGAACAACCTTAGCTGGAGGGGCTAAGTAGAGATGCCATCATGCGATTTCTTTCATTCCATCTTACTCAAGAAAAGCTTATAACGGATATCTCCGGTCATTTGCATAGCTGTTTGTGGTAACTGAAGAAAATTGTTGCTTTACATATATATATAAAACATATATATATTAAATAATCGAACTTAAAAGATATTATGAACTTTAAAATAATATCGTAATGAATTCGAACCCAATAGAATGCAACAGAACCGAAAAAAAAAATTAATTTAGAAAAAAGGGCAATCTCCAAAACAAAAAGAACAGAAAAGAATTACTATAACTAAAATTTATCTGCATTTTGACCATTACATTGATATATGAATGTTATTTAAGTGAAAAATTTATACGGTTTAAGAAGTTTGGATTGCGATATCAAATTCTTCATTTTTTCACTATTTTTATTTGTTTTTCGTTTTAACAAGAAAAAAAAAACAGTAGAAAAAAATTAATTTTTGACCACGAAAAATTCTATTAAGAATTTAAGATTTTCTTTTTTCCTTATTTTTTTTTTGTTTTTTAATTTAAACCAACGAATAGTATAAAAAATAAGAATAAGAATAAAATTTTTATTCAATATTATTGAGATGCGAACAAGATTCAATTGCATTTCTTTAGTAGTGGGGATAATGATTTATAAATCAAATCATAATCCCTAAATTGTAACATTACAAAAGTGAACTTTGTTAAGTTAAGAATAATTTTGTTGCCTTAAGTGAATTTCTATATAGAAATTATTTTCATTCTATAGCTTACCACAAGTATTTAATTACTTTTTGCCACAATTAAAATAAATTTTTTTTTAAATAAATTAAAAGACATTTAAAGAGAATTAAAAAATTATTAAAGACACATGAAATTTTCAAAAAATACTTTGTAAATTTTAAAAAAGAATAAAGAAAAAATACAATTATCTTAAAATTTAAAATTTTATGAATTTAGTGAAATATTTAGAAATTTTGAACTTAAAACATGAAGAAAAATTGTAATGAATTTATAATGGTATGTGAAAATAAGAAATTAAAAATAATATTAAGAATTGAAATAGAAAATATTGCATAGAAATTTAAAAGTAATTTAATTACTAAAAAAAATAGAATTAATAATGAAAAATTTTTTAGACGAAAAGTGTTTTACAAATACAAAGTGACCGCATAAAATAAAAATGTTATTTAAAAAATAAAATTAAAATTGTATTAGATCAATTTCGAAGTCAGAAATAGCTATAATTAATTTCAATCAAAAACTGGGCTTTCTACGCAAAACCTATGTATATAAAATGAATAGAACGTCTTTCAAAGTGTAAATCTAACGTAAACTTAATTTATTCAGCAAGACAATTTTCTTAACTGAACTCTTTAGGAAAGCAACCTAAACCAAATGTTGAATATTACATATTTCATTTTGGATGTGAATAAAACCTTATTTATGTTATTAATATAATAAATACTTGATCAAAATGTAATCATACAAAAATTCATATTCTTATATTGTGAATTTTGTCCGCTACTATTCAGCAGTTAGAATTGAATTTTTTAATGACTTAAAATCATTTTCTTTATTTCCCTTGTTTTGAAAAAGGAGCGTTATAATAAACACCTAGAAATTCGTAACCCTGTGCAATTAAGGAGAACACAAAAACTCAATTTTTCGATACTTTTAAATATGTCTTCGAATCTTATTTGTACAAAATCAATTTAGTAAAAAAATCTTGAATGTTTTGAACGGCTACAATGATAGAATATTTTAGATATATAATGAAAGATTTCAGAGAGAAACTTGAATTGAATAAATATCGCACATCCTCTTGTTCGCACATTTAGGCAAGATGTATATTTTCAATTAATGATTACATAATATAGAACTAGTATAATATTTCACTGATTTTTTTAACAACGTTTTGAAGTTTTATCGATTTTTAAAATCGATTTTAATATTTCGATAATAAAAAATTCAATTTCAAAATTTTTCTAAGTTCGAATGCTCCCGAAATATTGACTTATTTAATTTTCTGCAGGGATTTTAAATTTATTTTAAGATTTCAAGAATTTTCAAGAGGTTTTAAATTATGGAATAGGGTGCCGCACACCCTTAATTAAATTAAAATAATATAAAATAAAATAAATACAAATATTATGACTTTCTTTCAGCTTATTTTAACATCGTTGATATTATCATGTAACGCCTTCTGGTGGAGAACTACGACGTAAGTTTCTTTAATGTACAATTTTTTACGTTTTTTTTTTTTTAAAACAACAGATTTTAAAAGTATAACGGTTTTTGAACTTTTTTTCTAGTGAAGCTACACCATTACTTCGACAAATGCCTATCAGTTATTTTAGAACTTATACATACCATCAACCCGTCGGTTATCCAGGATCCCTATTTCAATCTCCCACATTCAACCAATATTCACCAGCAAATCGTTTTGCTGGTTGGTCAGAATTTCCATCAGCATCAAATGGATTACCAGTTTTAGCAAATTATAGACAAGAAATGACAACAACCACAACTTCACCTCCATCAACACAAACTACATCAACTACTATAATGCCGACACAGCCACCACCACAACCACCTTCAACACATTTGCCACTCTTACAGGGAACTTCATCACAATCGCATATTAATTTACCATTACAGTCAATACCTAATCATCCATCACAATATTCATTAAGTTCTAGTTATATATCATCTGCTGGACATCATTATATTGAAACACATCCACCATCTGCTCAATATTTAACATCAGGTCCAATAAGAACATCATATTTAACACCAGATTATCCAAATCAATATTATTATACAACTTCAACTGCATCTAATCCATCTCTTAATATGCAAACGGCACAGCATTCTAGTAATAGTTTTACAAATGGACAGCAATTTCAAAGGCAACAAATTCGTTTCGTACCATGTATGTGTCCAGTTGCTGTATCAATACCAAATGAATTCCCTGAAAGTCGATCAATTTCTAATGATGATAGTGATGATATGGTTATACCAGAAACAAATGAAGCAATTAAAACAAAAGAAAATGATGATGTACACTTAAGCAGTTAGAAAATAATAAAAAAAAATATTCATTCATTTTTGCTAATAATAAACTTTATAAGAGAGAAGACTGGTCACAATAAAAATTAAAATATAGTACAAACTAGAAAATCATCAGTTAAATAGAGAATGAAACGCAAATATACTTAAATGTTAAGATTAAAAATTTAATGTCTATGTGTAGTTCAAAATAAATTGATAAAATATAATTAAGTTATGAGAGCTTATTTCTATTAATGTTTAAACTTAGTTATGAGATTGAGATACAAAAGTGAAGAACACGACTTGTCAATTAAATTAAACTATTTTTGGTGTGTGCGATTAAAAATAACAAGAGAAAATGAAAATTTAATTTAATTGTGAATTGGACACAGAGCAATTTTTTAATATTATAAGCGAAGTGGCAAAATTATAAATACCTTCTAACATAAGGTTGTTTGTCACAGCGTTTTATAAAAAGTGAAATGAAAGAAAAATATCGCACATATAAAAGTTACTTGCTTTTTTTATCTTGTTTTTTTCTTGCATTTTTCTTTTTTTGATACTAAATCAGTTCTCTGCGCATGGAATTTACCTTGCGATAACCTAAAAGTAGAATGTACAAATAAAACAGAAAAGTAAAAAATAATAATAACAAAAAACAGAAAACTTGGAACTACAAGTTTTAGCCATTTTAAATCACAAAACTATATTAACCGTAATATTGTAACTGTGTGGAAAACGTAAATATTTTATTGAATTTAAATCAGATTGAAATTCAAATTAATAAATTTCGGTTGTGTGACCTAAGACAATTTTATCGTTTAAACAATTTGCAACCAAATCAAGCTCTGTACCCTTCTAACTTTAAATGAGTACATACCTTTGGTTTTTCATATGAAATGTACAAAACAAATTCATATAGATACCAGATTTAAAAAAAAACAAATTCCCCTATTTGTTTTGTTCTAATTGAAGTGCAAAACCGCATAGCTCTAACCGATCGATTGTCACGCAAACCATAAGTATTAATCATCTAATAAAATTATTCACCATTTCCATCCTGTCCTGCAATAAACTTGATAACCATTTCAGCCAACGTTTTTCAAAATTATTTTAATTTGGGTGCAATAAAATAAATTGGCGAATGACTATGTTTCTCTTCTTTTCAATTTTTTTTTTTCGTTTACATATTGCTGCTAACAAAATCTCAGTCGTCGAGGCGGTGGTGTGGCATTTTTGTTTTATATAAACTCATATACAGTAATATCTTGCAATATTATTATTCATGTAGTTAAATATATAATTTCCTTTTTTTTTTAATTTCTACACTTTATACGAATATATTTAAACAATAGACGTATGTATATACATGCATACCATTATGTGTGGATATTGGATCTGTATGCATATAGTTAATATATTTATATGTATAATTAATTCAACATACATATGTACTTATATAACAATTATTATATAAGCAGAGTTTAAGTATGCTATTTGGTATGAAAATAAACTATAATTACAATGGATACAAATACGTTTTATGTGTAAAATAAATGTAACTATGTACAATATTATAGATATATATATATCTTATGTACTAAGATTTTGAGCGAGTAAAGTAATTTTTTGAACTACAAACGTTAAATACTGAGAGTATAGAAAGTAGTTTTAATTTTACAATAAAGGTGTAAAATTCGCGCGTGATCTAATCTAAAATTATTTTTTTATATACGTACATACTTATGCATTTATAATATTTAAATATTTATAACGTATATAAAATTACTTATAAAATATATTGTAAAATAATGAGTAATTTATTTAAAAATACTACGATAATAGTATTAAACGTTATGATTATTGCAAATATAATATGGGCATATGACCCTAATGATAAAAAAATTGCCTCAGTATTACCACCAGAAGGAATGTTTGAAGCATTTTATCCAAGAGAAATGGATGGTATACCAAATGGTTCATCAAGGCCAGCTCATGCTCATGGAAGTTTTTTTAAACATCGGAATCCAGCTTTAGTTGATACAAAAAATGCTGCCGCTTACGGCTATCGTTTTGATGGAAAACGACGGTTTAATTTTGACTAACTACATAAATTTTATTTTTTTTTTTTAATTTTTGGTATAAGTAATATAAATTATAAATTTCCCCTATAAATTATATATATACTTGCTTAATTTTCTTTTTCTTGTAAATTATTTTAAAAAATTTGCAATCAACATTTTTTTATTTTTCAAAAGTCTTTATACTATTTGCTATGGTAGGAAGAAGAAAATAAAGTTAAATGAAACTATATAATAATTTTCATTAATATTATTCAAATATTTTGCAATTCATATGGAAATTAAGTATTCATATGGAATTAAGCATGAAATTTTTCGTTGCATAATTGTATTATAAGCTCATAAAATAAATTTATAATATGTGTAAATGGGTAAATTATTAAAAGCTCTATAAATAGGGAAATAACGTATATCTAAACATGTACAACATGAGTGTATCAGATAATTTTGAATAGAATAATTAACAAAATGAATAGTGCATCTATATTTATAAAGCGCGTTTACATATTTACTAATTAAAAATTAATTATTCAGTTATTTAGTATTGGAAAATTACTTAATCCAACCCATATTTTACAATAGTTGTTAGCCCAAATTTAGTTGAACACTTTTTTTATTCAAAATGTTTTAAGCAAAGTATTGTATGTAAATTAAACTTTCTTCCAAGAATTCACGTTAATAAACTTTACAATAATTATCAAGCATTAATGTTACTTTAGCAAGATGTTTAGATGATTTATACTTTTGTTTTTGTTTGTATGAATTAAGTATATAATATTTCCTATTTTTAACATAAAATTTGCAAAGTTGTATATACAAAAATATAATGTGATTTGTTTTGAAAGCTTAAATTTATTTTATAATTTGACAATTATGAACCATAATATTTGTATACGTGTATACAAGCTAAATTATGTTTTTAATTTAGTCGAATAATGACCCCATTATATATGACTTTTGAATCTACATATATATGTACATATAAGTATATGTTCCTGTTGTCAAAATAAAACTTAGAACGAATTAAGGAAGCGAACAATTTTTGATTCAGTTAGATGTATATATATACAGTACAGTTACGGCTGAGATAGAATATAGTTCAAATAGTCTCTTCAGACAGCTCACATTGTGTAATTTCTAATATTTGTTCAATTTCTTTAGATTATTTTTATGGACCGAAGATTTTTCATAACCCTACAAGAAAAAATTTATTGATTATTGTCGATTACAAACCTTTTGGCAAAAATCTTCTATAAGTTGTGATATACAAACGACTGTTTTAATAAAATAATTGATAGATTTTTAAAGACTATCTTTTGATGATAAAGCTTTGAACCTTAAAAATAAAACTGAATATCCTGAAAAGTGACTCATTAAACCGATTTTTTAATTAATGTGTGTTTATGTTAATAGTTTGGTATTTGACCATTAATACATATCGTAAAGCATCCATTAAGGATCAAGATTTTTTGCTTTATTTTTACATACATGCAAAAGCATAACTTGAATTTTACTTTTTTTCTCAATTTTACTGATTAAATACGTAAGTAGAATTAATAAATTAATATTATTTACCACTGTACATTTAAACGAAGTGCTGTTAGTATCACATATCCTTTACTTTTATTTAAATTATGTTTTACGTTTCAATTCGCTTCTTTTTAGAATCAAGTTGTCTCTGATACAAAACGCATGCCTTATTAAATGTGCTGTGTTAAGCATCCAAGCCAAAATAAACCTTTCATTTGCCCTAAAACAATTTATACACATGGTTACGATTGACTTTTGCAGATCTTGGTTACATGATCATCAAAGCAATTTTTGCGCACCTCACACTTCCTTACATTTGTTTTATTTAGTCAAATTATCAAATCCATTGCATTCTTCCCAATCAATATTAAGTTTCTCAGCAGCTACTATTTTTTGTAATATCAATTAATACTTGAATCACCGCGTTGTGTAGAATTGTCTTTAATTTATATGTTTAACCCATTACTTTTACTGAATAAAATTTAATTATAAGTTTATTTTAAGTACTAATATGCATATATTTGTTACAAATCTGCTCAAAAAAATTTAATTTCATAAATAATTTACCACTACATTCACGCTGAATTATAAAACTAATTGCAATCCACTTTACATCATATATAAAAAAATAAAGCTACATAAATATCCTTATTGATACTAATGAACAAGAATTTTAAGAATTTTTTGCCCTTGTGTTGTGAAAATTGGAATTAATTTCAACACTTAAATATAATGGTGAATAATGATAGGTTTTAACATTAATTGTAATAAAATTATAGGTGATAATTTGTAAAAATCTCATAAAACATAATTTGTAATAATTTATACGGAATAAAATTGTGTTTCATATTTTGATCTAGAAACTGGATTTGTAAAAGGTGAAAACCAAGCAATTGAAAATCGACCAAAAACTGCTTGTATACTTTTCCACCTTGATTTTTTCACCCAACGAGCCTCTTCCTTTTTAAGTTGTTCTATACCCTAAAAAATTTTTATGATATCCATTTCAAGATTTAAAAATTGAAAAATAGAAATAGAAGTTACAGTCTCATCGTTCCAAATTGCACTTAATTGTGTTGCCAGCATAACCATTGTAAAAACTGCAAATAATAGAGCTTCAAATGTTAGAAATAGTAATAAAAATACAGTAGCTGGAGGAGAGTAAGGAGAACAATCACGCCATTCATGCTTAACACACAATGCAAATTGATTAATAACTAAGAACATTGCATGGGTAGATATGATTGCTATATAAAACTGAAAATAAGTACAAATTACAAATTAAGAGCGATTGCTTTAAATTGAATTTTTAAAGTTTAACTTACTGTAAATAAAACAAAATATTTTTGGTTATTTTCGCCAACACAGTTATTTACCCATGGGCAATGATGATCCATTTTGCGAATGCATCTGTTACAAACTGAACAATGATGCGCTCTATCTGGTTTTATACTGCAACATTTTGGACATTTAAAAAAAACTTCTCCTTCACGAAAGCCTAATTGTTGTATGATTTCTTTTGTAGCATTACCTCGAGGTACTGCACCCTTAAATATGGTATCATAAAGATTTCTTTTTTAAATTTTAAAATCAAATATTTTTGCCTAAAGAAATTTTTTTGTGAAATTGTAAATGGAATCACACCGCAAAAACATGCAGCATTACTATGTAATTAATTTATTTTATTAAAATATTTTCTCAAGATCTATAAACATGAAACAAAATGAAAAGTCAGAGAGTTAAGAGTAAGAAGCGGATTATACAATATTGAAAAAAAAGCTATAGTATCTAATAGCACTTCATAAATAATTGAACAAATAACTTTCATGAAATAATGTTATCATAAAATATATAAACAATGTTCTAAATGAATTTTAAAATTAGAAATATCAAATTAAATAGTTTTGCAAATGATCAAATTGATTCTACATTAATTTCACATAGTTAAATGTTATTTCACTTACTGGGTCTGATAGCATGGTTCTCAAATGTGATGCAAATGCTAAAAACGCTAGAATTTGAAATATTATTGTATTAATTGTACTAAATACTGGATAAGGGCTTGGCCATAATATAACTCTCATAACTACAAATTCAGCAAATATTATTAAAAGCCATGTCATAATGGCACATACAATTCCGCAAATATCCTAAAATTTTTTATGTTAGTCATAAATATCTTTAATCTATTCATTTAAAATAAACCCACCTTAACACACCACATACGACCACTACAACATTTGTTATGCATTTCTACTGAATTACGCAGATTAGTATATTCATAATTCATTTTTCTATAAGATAAATAAATTTATGTTTTATATATCAAAAATGTCTTAAATATTATTGCATATAGCTATTTTGCGTTTTTCCTAGTTTTAAAATTCCATAATTATTCAATTGTAAAACATTTTAGCTATTCTCTTTAGTATTGTCAAACTTTACAAAACACAGCTGATATTCAAATCAGAATAAAAGTATTAATACATGACACTACAAAAATTGTGACTTGGCCACCAGCGGAAGAAAAATGAAGCATAAAAAAAACAAAACCCACACTTCGTTTTGAAGGGATTTAATTTATCTTTATGATATCAGTTGTTTCTTTGCAGGCAAGGACCATGGTATAAAAAAAGGTTCTTTCACTAGTATCTTCTTCAGAGGTTTCTTGAATATTTAATTTAATTTTTATTAAATTTTATTTAATTTCTTGAATATAATTTAATTTTTTATATCTCGTTTTATTTGCGTTTCTGCACTTTTCTATCAATTTTTTTCCGTTTTTTGATTGGATTTGGGGACAATAATATATATAATTGGGAACACTAATATATATATATATATATATATATATATATATATATATATATATGAATATGAATTATATTCAAACATTCCCAAAAAATAAAAATTTAATTCATATAAGTAACTGTATATTTATTTTATTGTACATTTGTGTTACAACATACAAAATTTACTTGGCTAACTATTTAGTTTATACCATGCGCTTTTCTAAGTCCTTCATATAAACGGCGTTTTTCATCATTGGTCTCTTTAAAAGTTTGTATCGCTAATTCCAATGGGATTCTTTTTAATGCTTTTGATTTGACAAAATTTTCTATAAAATTAAGGCAGAAATCATCTATTTCGAAATCTTCTCTGGATTTTCCAATTGCATTTCTTATTTCTTCATGAATGTCGTCTGGGGTGCTATTTAAAGATTTTTTTAGTTCCTCTACAATTCCAAATTGTTTAGGAGATTTTTCAATCCTATCTAAAATTTTTTTATCATATTCTATGTTGTGTAAATCATTCATTAAAGCAATTAATTCTACACCATTTCTTAAATATTCCTTCTTAATCATATCATAAAGCATATCGTCTATTATTTTATGCCAAGCAAAGAAAAATGCCATAGGCCCGAAATGCCGAGTTGATCTTAAATCATGAAATTTTTTATTTTCATTCACGTGCATATAAAGTGTAGACGTTAGATCGTGATATTCCTTTTCATATGGCTCATATTGTATACATAATCTGTCTAATACAAATTCATATTTGAATTCATCTAAACACCGTTGAAAATGTGGTTCTTGAAGCATTTTTGGACAGTAAAGTTTACGACCTTTTAAAGGGAAATACAGTTGATTCATTCTTTTTTGTACTTCCATTGATGCATTTTCCAAAGTACCATCAACATGTCTAATTACGACTTTACGCTCTGATTGTTTTAAACCAAAAGTTATATCTGTGAAAATGTGTGTGTTTTCCGAGAAATTTTTAAGTGCCGGATCGTTTGAAATAATTTTTGGAGCATTGTTCTTCACCATTACTACAGGAGGCATTTGAAGATATTTATCTGCTAAAGCTGACATTTCCTCAAATTTTTTTTCTAATTTTTCTGTAGTCATGAATCTGGAACAATATTTGTTTACATAATATAGCTTCACATGTGATAGTTATAGTATATTATATGTACAAATAAAACTTACTGATATTCGATTGAATTTTGTGACGATTTTTTTCTGAATACTTTTTCTACAGAAGGGCATGTTAGTGACTTTAAAATTCTCTGCGTGCTGGGTTCAATGAATTTTGGCCCTGGATCACTTTCTAGAATTAAAAAACTGTGATAAATAATTCTCAATATTTTTTTTCCTTACCATAATGATAGTAGCTTGTTTTTTCTGTATTATTTGAAAAATTCCTGATACTGTTTAATTTAAATATAAGAGAACGTCTTCCATTCCTGGCAATCACAAACATTTCTAGCGCACAAAACGTAAATTATTTACTAAAGGAAATTTAAATAAAATATCAGAATAAGAGAAATAACCAAAATAAAATTAATTTTGACGTGTGTTTTTCCAATGGCTCGCAAACTGTAATGACATCTATAATATTAAAATAAAAGTGGTGTCGAGATTGCCGGAAGTGTAGAAACTTTACGCAAAACATGTTTTAATTTTTGTATGCTGATGTCTCCGTTGTTATTTATTGTAGTTTCCGACTCAAACTCTTTTTTAAATATATATAAACGACAGAAGTTGTGATTATTCGTATTAGTATGCCTTCAGTTAAAATTTAACAAGACTTTCAGTTCTTTTATTGTTCACACTGTGACATTACCAAAATATCAACTATCTATTAGTTAGACGTGGTGTACCCCACGGAATTCGCATATGGATGTATTACGTACTTACGTATGGTGCTGTGCATATAGATCTTTGCTGTGAACAGAAAAAAATATAGGTGTTTTTAGCAAATAAGTATTCCTTTGGAAAAAGGTTCTGTTATTTAAAATGAGTACCTCAATTTAATGAATGTGAGTTGTAATTTTACATAAAACAAAATGTCCTTAATAAGTTGATTAAAATTTTATTTCTTATGTAAAAAGTTTTACAATATCTTAATTGCTCACTCCGCATAATTGTTGCTCTAGTCATTATATACTATTCTTAAAATTATTAGCTATAAATTTATACAACTTAAGAATTAACTACTATAAAATTTAATATAAAATTATTGATATATTATAATACACTGTTACAAACAAATTCAATTTAAAAAAAATTTTTCGATATTGAAATATTTTAGTTTGTAAATTACAAATACGTGGGTAAATACAAATACATATTTTATAATGCAGTAGAGTTGTGATGAAACTTCTCATAATGCTCGGCAATATAAACAATATATATTAAAGGAATTGCAAAACATAAAGCTAAAATTAACACAAAAAGACAAATCCAAGACATATCACAATCAGATCCTGAGCAATCAAAAATTACATTAGTTGGTCCGCGAATCATTCGTGGCTGTGGAAGATTGTCTTCGAAACTATCTGCTAAAGAATTTGATGTATCTAAAATTAAAAAAGTAACCAAAATCAGGTTTTTAAATAAACAGATAGGCCGTATACCTACTTAATAATCAACATATTTTCTTGTAAGAACATATAGGTAGCTTATAAATACATACAAGCATCTTTAAAATTTTTCTTTTATGAAACTATTCATAAATTGTAGATTGAAATATGTAGGCAATACAAATTTGAACCTACCTTGCTCATCCTGTCGGTCCGAATATAAATTACGCCTTAACCTTGAATTCAAAACAATTGCATTTATTGTCTTTTGTGAAGAATCTACTGATGTTCCTGAATCATAGAATTTTTCATTTAATTTCTTAGCTTCCTCCCTTAAAGAGTCTACGACATCATTGTTATTGAAAAATTCATCTGCATCTTTAAAGATAAGAGTATTATTTTCCCCAGCAGGTAAAGTTTCTAATAAAATGGAATGTGGTGTAATTGGCACTTTGATTATTTTCCGGGCATAGATTTCATTGTCTTTATCAATTTTGTTAAGTCGCTTTATTTCAGCAACCTGAAAGAAATATATCAAAAAAACAGCTACTCTCTAAAAATTCCCCACAATAAACAACTTACTGTACAATGAAATCTTAAAGCAATACTTGCTAATGTGTCACCATCTTGTACTTGAGCTTCTAATGTTTTTTCAATTTTGGGTGATATTTTTTGCATAGGTAATGATACCTCTTCTTCTTCTAAAACAACATACCTAAAATTAAAATGTTTTGTTATTTTAACATGACACGACATTAAATCAATACCATAAAAAACTTACTTTTGTCTTTTCATGGCGAAAATTCAATTGTTTTTTGCTAATTACATATATTCAATTCAGTTTTTCTAAATTCAAGTAGATCGTGTTTTAATTTCACGTATTTTAATTACCATTCTTTCAATTTAAATATTTCTTAAATTAGCTTGTACCTTAAAACTATTGCAACAAAATTTAACAATTCGCACATTTGAAAGTTCTAATAATGGAACTGCCAACTCTTATAATAACAAAAAACACATAGTATAGGAATTTTGACATCCTAAATTTTGAAATATAGTTAGTGTTGGCACTAGCGATTATTTATTAAATTAATTTAAATTGAAAACCTCTACTTCTTTGCATCTATATGAGAAGACCATAAAGTGAAATCAATCACAAATATTATGCTTGTTGCGTCATTTCAGCTGATAGGATATTATTAAAAGGTATTTTGGTTTTCCTTAGAATTTAAAATTTGTAAATTGATTATTGTAAAATATTGATTTAATATGAAATAATTCTTGTTTTATTAAACAAGATTGGATAAAAGCGAAATATTCTTATTATTATTTTTTAAATTATATTTTCCTGTCCCTGGCTACATAGTAAAAAATTTTAGTTTATATTAATTCCCAGTTCATTGAGCATTTGGCTGTTTATATCCGGCAGCAAAGTAATTTACCCAACTTTTAATGGTTCATATAATAATATCAATTTTTTCTCAAAATGTTCTGCTTCCATCCATTTTTTTTACCATTTTCTATTATATTTTCTTTTATTTCTCAACTATGTGCATGTATATCTGAGCTTTAGTTTGATAAAAGGGTTGAATTGAGTTATTTTTTGATAATTTTAAAGTATATTGTGTTAAAATTAATATATGCAACTAAATTTACTAAGTTATTATCTTACTGAAAAAACAAAAAGTGTTGTCTTTGTCTAAAATAACGAGTTTTTTGTCAATAATTATTATTTAATTAATATTCGAAATAATTACTTTATTTTTTGACAAGTTATATTAATTTTAAAATATTATAATTTTTCAATAAATAACTGAGTTATTTTTCAATCAATTCATTTTAAAACATTTTTTAATTTTTGTCTCATGGGTGAGCCTTCTCACACTCGTAGTATTTCTATAACATCATATTGTATATGCGCTGCTTTTCAAGTTTGTAACCCGTCTGCGATGACGCGGCAATTTGGATTGCCGCACCGCACATAGCGTTCATGTTTGTGGAACACTTTCAGTATTCCTTGCTACAAGTACGCACATATGTATGAAAAAAAAGGACGCGCTAAATAACAACATTTTCTAAGTTTCAAATTTTGGGCATGATAATTCTACATAAGCATTCAGTATTTATTTATTTTTTTTTTAAAAACATTCAGTTATTGTTTAAAATTTCTTGAAATAAAACAAATTTTAATACTTTAATAATTTATTTAATATATTAATGACTTAAGTTATGATGAATATAACTTTCAATGGATTAAGGTAATTTTATTCTTCATTTTCAACTGCATCTATTAATTATAAATTTTATATGTATTTACAAACATCTTTAAATAAAAAACATTAAAAGTTTATAAGATTTATAAAAATAATTATATATATAAATATCGATTCTAAAATAATCTTGTTTGTTTTAGAGTATTTATTAAATCTGAAGTGTAATTAAAGTGTTAATGGCACATTTTTTAGTGAATAGATTTTTTTCGCTTTGGTTTTTGAATTATTAGATTTCATTACATAATTAAGTTTTGGTTACCAAAATGGTTTTCTAATCAAAATTTTAAATAAATATAAAGTACATTGGTTTAATATACCTAAATTAGAATAAAACAACAATATAGAGAAAAAATTACGTAAAATTAATCTGATAATTTTATATTTAGATTTCATTTATCATGACGAGTATCCAATTCGTTTTTTATATTAAATTTGTTTTATTTTTTCGATTATTATTCGTTGCTCTATCTGATCTCTTGATCATTATGGCCAACTATTTCACCTAATTAACTTTAATTTTCGTATCCTTTAATTTTTCGTATTAATTATATTTGATAATTTAAATTTACTTTTAGATAATCAATCCAGGAGGTAAAAATAAGAAAGAATGCATAGTAAAATTCAAATATGTTTGAATAACAAGTGATTGAATATAAACCATATAAATTTTGAAATTGGAAATATTTGCCGAAATATCAAATTTATAGGAGTACAATGAGTCATTCAAAGATATGTTTTCTATTAATTTATGAAATGAATTAGATACTCTAGAAGATAAAAATAGCGTGGAAAGAAACAGATAAATGAAGCAAAGTTCACATTTTGTAACCAGTATGCAACCTAATTATGTATGTAAGTAAATTATGTATTTGGAAGCTAAATACTTTTATAACTTCATTCATTTAACTATTTTTTAATATTAAATTGTTTAGTTAATATAGTTATATATTTAATATCATGATATCTGATTTAAGTAGCTTCGCCCAAATTATTTTATGAAATCCCACACGTTTTGTGAAATTTATTCTTTCTAATACTGCTACTTTCTTATAAAATATTAATTTGAATTTGATTCTATGCACGTTTAAAAAAAATTACATTTTTCTTTTTTAAACAATAATTTTGAAAAAAAAAATAACTATGAAAACTATACTTATGTTGAATGCATAGCTTATTATTAGTAATTGTATTGGTTTTTTTATTAAAAATTTTTATGAAGACCTCAAAATAATCATTAATGTTTCTTTAAATTTTCAAAGAAAGCAATGTTATCTTTCAGTTTTCCTGGTTTCAAAACTGGGCTTATTGGTCTTTCAAGATTTTTCAAATTATTTTGATTCCCATCGTATCTATAAAATATAAAATTTGTTAATAATACTTAATAAAATATTTCTATATAATATTTAATATTGCATTATTTCACTAAATTTAACATTTATTTGAAAATAATAATTTGTTAGTAAATATATTTTAGTTACTACATAATATACAAATGTAGATCTGCATCTTTTTTCTTTAAATGTGTTATACTTACATTTGTTTAACTGAAGGTTCTTGTACTGGAACTGATGAACTTTCTTCAAGTGGTGATTTTTTTCTACATTCAATTTTTATTTCATTATTATTAGGTTCGGTTAATGACTGGAAATATTTATATGTTAGTACAAGTCTTCAAGTTATTAAAATTTAGTTATTTACCATAGTTGAAATGTCATCAGGAATTGTTGTCGCTCCTGACGTTAATAAAAAAGCTCTCGCTAGCGCCTTAACTGATGGCAATGAGTTCACAACATCTTCTTCAATCACTGGCTTATCTGGGGTTTCGGGTGGTGTCTAAAATTTTATTTTTATAAAAATATGTTATACATATTATTTTTATACTATCTCTAAAGTTTATGACTTACTGAATATTGTTCTTGTGTCATTATCTGAGATGGTTCAATTATTTTACGTTTCGGGTGTAAAAATTTAAAAGTTTGTGGTGTTAAAGCCATTGCTGTTTTACCAGTTTTGCAGGGTGACTGACTAGATGCTGATGATAATTTCAATTCATTTGGTCGTGTCTTTGGTGTCGGTAATGGTGTTGTTGTTGGTGTTATAGGAGTATTTGGTGGCGTTCGCGTCATATTATTATTTTGTTCTAATTCCTCTATCATACCATATTGTTGCTTTGATTGATTTTCTTTTGTTATTAATGTTGTTTCCTGTTTATTTAAATTATAAATTCTTAATGTATCAGAATCTTCACTTAATGATAAACTATTAGTCAATGAAATATCTGATGGTGATGAATCTGCTCTTAATTCGTTAACATTTTTACATTGTTCTTCATCAGTTGAATCAACAATTTGAATTAATTTAGCCGAAAATATATCGCTTTTGTTATTTAAAGTGTTATTAATATTGTGTTTATTGTTTTGTAATGATAAAGTTTGTGTTTTTTCGTCTGATAATGATGTAAAACTATTTTCCTATATAGAGTTTCAAAATTAAATACACGATAAATAGTATTAATAATAAAACAAAAAATGTGTATAATTTGTATTCTAAAATTTTCTTTTAATTATTATTTATGTATTTAAAATTTTTCCTTTTAAAATGACATAATGAAACGAAATAGATTTAAAAATTTAGTTAGGAAAACCTTAATAATCATAAAATAATAAAGCTTTGTCACACCTTTTACATAATATACATTTATGAATATTTTATGTTTTCCTATATAAGTAATTAAAATAGTATTTTTCAATTCATTACATCACCATACCTACACACTCATTTCTATAATGTGAGTTTTTTTGTATGTAGATGACCAAACGATTTTAAATTTTAATTTCTATGTTTAAGGAAAGTTTTTATACTTTAAAAAATGTAATTTGTTAGTTAAAATAGTAATGAGGATATGTGAGGAGAAAATATCCGTGACTATTCTCAGCATTTTTGTATTTTTTGAAAAAGAAAGCAAGTATAAATTTCAAGTAAACGGCTATTGTTATATATTATAATTATGATTTTTATTAATTATTTACAATTAAGAATGCTATAATTTCAGTTACACTTTGTACTTTATACAGAAATAAAAAAGCAAAGCAATTTAAATATAAAAGTAATTAAAATGTTGTAGGTATATGAAAGTTAGAAATCAGAAATGAATGAAACAAATGTTAATTAGTAACCTTTTTTCATATGAATTTGTACTTTTTTTATGTTAATAAAAACATGATCTTATTTACTAAATTACTAAATATTACTTTTCCCATTATATTAAACAAAAATTTATTTAAAAAAAAATTCTCTTACTATGTAGGTACTTAAATTATAATTAACATTATTGTACTCACCTTAAATTTGTATAACATTTTTTGATTTCGAAATTTTTATTTTAAATTACTAAAAAACATTTGTTTCTGTTCATTTTTACGTTTATTTACCATTTAAACACTTTTAATTTTTTTTAAATACAAGAATTTAAAAATAATATTTTTAAGAAATAATTATAAGCTATATAATATTTCTTAATATAATTGAAAATTTTGAATAAAACAAGTTTAAACTTTGTAAAATATAATAAAAGTACCTACTTATATAAAAATCAAACGAACAGTAATTGATTTTACTTGATATGTACTTGTAGTATAGTTTTTAATTAATAAAGATTTAAAAATAAGACAGAACATAAAGATATTGTATTTTAAAATAGTTTCCTAGAGATTCGTTGTAAAATTATAAGCAAGGAAATATAATGGAACTAGCGTTTTGAAATACTTTAGTATTCTATGAAAATGGAAATATATTAAAATACATTAGTGAATTTCAAAGAGTTTGCTAGCAATATAGTAATGATTTATAAACTTTGAAATTTAGAGGGATAAGATGTAATAAGAAAGGTAAACTCATATTTTTTCGTATGTTCCAATAAGTTAAAAGGTCTTTATTTGGATTTTGAAACATAGATTTATTAAAAAAAATTGTACATGGGTACTGCGTTTCAAAATGTAATTTGCAGAACATTATTTCTATGTACGAAATTTTTATCGTTGTATAAGAAGTATATTAGTCATTACAAAATATAAAATTAAGATTTTATTGCAAATAATTTAATTTAAACGTTCAGACATTGTAAAAAAAATTGTGCGCGATAATTTTGAGCAATTTGTATGACTATTTCTTGGAAATTTGTAATACTAATTGATTTTTAGTTATGTTTTATAAGTAAAATATAATATTAAATGTCCTATGCTTGATAATTCAAAGAGATTGGGATTGAAATTAATTGTTTTTTTTTCTTTAATTTTAGAATCATTTAAATGAACTATATTTTAATAATTATTAAAATGGTTACATTTAAAAAATGCCAACCAATCGATTATATGTATTAATATAAACTAGCATCGTTTTTCAAATAAAATTTTTTGTTAATTGTATTATTTAAGATTAAACTACCAAAACTATCAACACCAGAATCGTTTTCAGAACTTTCAACAGAACCTGAATGTTGCTCGTCAGCATTAGATGTTAAATTAGATTGATTTTGTGGCATATCCTTACCCGTGAACAAGGGATTAAAAACAAAATTCTTTGATGTCGATGAAATAGCACGAAAACTATTACGTTTTAAGTCATTAAATAATAATTTTTTTTCGAATTGCTTTATAGTATCTTCTGGAATATCTAAATAATGATTTTGTATGTTAATTTTATTTGATGGAGTCGAACTCCTGCTATTTGTTCCTTTTAAATTTTTTGATATTTTAATGTTTTCATTAAATGGTTCATTTAAATTTAAGCTTTTACAACTACGTAAAGAGCTTGTTCTTCTAACTGGATTAATAATTTTCCATTTATAATTATACTTGTTATTACTATTATTGATAATCTGATGATTAAAATGATGAAGGTGATTTTCCTTTACCTCTAAACTTTTGTCCTCTAATGAATCCCTATCGATGACTTGCATTTTTATAAGTTTACTTTTTGTTGTATTCGATGTTGGAGATGGAACATAATAATCACGGCTATATCTAGAATGATTGTTGCACGTTATTTAAACAAATACAAATAATTTTTTAATAAAAAAAAACTTTTTTTTACATTGATAAATCAACATTTTTTGCACTTAGTTCTGCTTCAGTTATTTTCTCTTCCTCGGGTGTAGTAATTGGTGTTGAAACACGTTTGTCTGGTATATCCAATGGCTTTTGTGGTCCTGTATCAAGTCGTCGTAGCAAAGCTTCAGGGGCATATGGATTATTTGGCATTTCAACAGCATTATACCATTTTTTGTGCTCTCGTTCTGCTATGGATCCTATATAGTAAAAAATTAGATTAGATTACTAGAAAAAAAAGAAAAATTGTAAGTACTTGAAGTTAGAATTTTAGTGGTTTACGTACAGATAATTCGACATACTACAACCCTATAGTTTTTAATGATATGCCTATGTACATTTTTATTTTATTAATTTAAATTGTTTATAACAAATTCATGTTAGTTGAATGCAGATGGATGTAATATTAATTGAATGAGGATTTTTTAAAGTTAATTAATATACCCATGTACCTGTGTATCAATTAAAATTAAAACACACAATTATTATTATAAGGACTTTACTTTGTTAAAAAATGTTTTTTAGAATTATATTTTGAGTAAAAGGTAATGCAATTTATTGCTTCTTATCGGCTTGAAAGTTGTTTGAATTCTAATGAACTGTTGAAAACGTTAACATGTTTTTTGAAATCCATTTTGTTGAGTTATTATCGAGAGTTGACTCATGAGATATATGACAATGACAATTAAGAGTTTTTGGAGAAAATTAATATTATATATATTTTTATCAGCTTGAGCTGATTGGGCAGTCGTTTCTCACCAGATATTCGAACCCGACAGATGGATAGGTTTAGATTGAGAGTATTTTTAAGTGTGAAATAAGTTATTGAAATAGTTCAATAGACGTTTGAATTAGGTTAAAATTTGTATTCGTAGTAAATCATTTCAGTCCTCTACTGGTTGAAGATTGCAAAAGTTGTTTTTATTTATAGTCTCAAACCATTTAGTTACCTGGTATTAAAGAAACATTTTGATCGTCTTCATCAGACATATCCAAGGTTCCACAAAATGCCTCAGTTTTTTTAGTATCTATTAATTTTGGTATTGTGTTAATATTTGTGAGCTCTAGAGATGTATTTTTTTCAGGATTAGGTTTATTAAATTGTTCATTAGGTATGTTAGTACCATCGTCCAGAATTTTTGAATTATCAATTTTTGTTACAGTGTTAGTATTTATGTTATTGTTTGAATCAGTAATTTTATCACTAGTTGTTAGGTTGTTACTACTAATATTTATTGTTAAGGTTGATATTTTATTATCAAGTAAATTACGGTCACTATCTTCCATATTATTTGTTACTTGTTTACTTTCATGCACTACATTATCAATATCAGAAGATTCGTCGCATAAAACAACTTCTTGTTCACTATTACCGTTTACATAAACTTTTGTTAAATGCTGATTATAATTTTCCTTTGCGATTTGTGCTTCTTCGTTTGCATCTAAAATTGTATGAGTACTTTCGTCTGTAATTGTAGAATCAGAGCTTGTTCTTTCTGAAATAAATTACAATTAAATTTAATAATAATTACTATGCACTATTTTTCAGAAATTATTGGCTTAGAAATTTTAGTGAATTGGGTGAAAAACTGAAAATAAACGGGGAAATGAAAAAATTAAAGATCTAATTTTAAAAAAATTAAAGATCTAAATTTTATAAATACCGAGTGATAAAGTTTTTTCTAAATCTACAGATTTTTCGTCCTCTAATTCTTCCAATAATTTACTTTGCTCATTTGATTCATTTAATGGTTGACTATCAGAAATTTTTTCAAATAAAACTGATCTATTTTCATCTGAATCTATGCTTTTAAGTATCGGCGTATTAATTTTATCGAGAGGAAATGAACTATTATCAGATACTACGTTGATTTCACTTTGTAGGTCAGGTACATCAAACAATTCTTTTTTTTTTGTAGCACCTGTTGTCAAATTGATTTCTTTCTCTGTTTGATTGCTTATTGCAGAAGTTAAAATTAAGGAGTTTTCATGTGGTATTTCTTCTTTCGGTAGAATATTTAAAATCTCCACTCTGGAAGGTTCTCCAGATGATGAAATATGTTCTTCATGTGATTTTATTTCTCTGGCAATTGATATAGTACTTTGGAAAGGTTGGGTTGTTTCAGACGAAGCCTGGGAATTTATTTTATTGTCTAAACTTTCAGGTAAATCAATTGGCTTTTTATTATTTAAAAAATCTGTTACCATTTGATTTTCTTTCGATGATTGTTTATTTAAGATTGGACCCTGTGTTAACGATACATCAATAATGATATTTTTTACTCCAGGTTGTGACAAGGACGGCGGATCTTCGATGATATTATTTTTATGTTCGAAATTAAGCGGTATTGTTTCTTTATCTATTATATTATCACATTTAAGATTTTTAGACCCTTCGCCAATATTCTCTTGTTCTGTTTCCTCGTTTTCTATATATTTTTCCAGCATATTTTTCTCATTTATTGATTGATAGTCTTCTAATTCGTTTTGTACTAAATTTTTTTGTAAAATTTCATTGTTCGTAGTTTCGAGATTTATTGGATTATTTAACTTTGATGCTTGTACTATATCTAACTGTGCCGCTTCCAGATTTATTTCATTTGAGAAGTCAAATGGTGGTGGTATTATAAAATCTGTTTTCGAACCATCCCCAGTTTCTGAAGCAAGTTGTTGTTTCTCGCGCATTTCTTCAATATTAAAAAGATCCTTAATTTGTTGAGTTATTGTTGTAGCAAGGAGTTCATTTTGATTCAGTTGCGTAGTATTTTCAAGTTGAGGTGGCACTTTTGTTTCTTTTATTACAGTGGAATCATTTATGGCAGAACTATCAGGTTTTGGTTCTTCAATAGGTTTTACCTCTTTTACTTCTACTAAATTTTGAACTTCAACTGACGTATTATCAGAACAGCCGAGCGCCTGTGAACTTTCGATTAATCTTGTTTCTGAAGTATCTTTTACTGAATTTGCTACCGGTTCTGAATGCTGTGGCTTATTTTCACTAACTGGTTGGGTTATTGTTGTATCAGAGTTATTTTGATTCAGTTGCGCAGTGCTTTCAAGTTGATGTGGCACTTCTGTTGCTTTAATTACAGTGGAATCGTTTATGGCAGAACTATCAGTTTTTGCTTCTTCAATAGGTTTTACCTCTTTTACTTCTACTAAATTTTGAACTTCAACTGACGTGTTATCAGAACTACCGACCGCCTGTGAACTTTCGAATGATATTGTTTCTGAAGTATCTTTTCCTGAATTTGTTAACGGTTCTGAATGTTGTGGCTTATTTTCACTAACTGATTGGGTTATTGTTGTATCAGAGAGTTCACTTTCATTCAGTTCTACTGTATTTTCAAGTTGAGGTGGCACTTCTTTTGCTTTTATTTCAGTGGATTCATTTACAATAGAACTATCAGTTTTTGCTTCTTCACTAGGCTTTACCGCTTTTACTTCTACTAAATTTTGAACTTCAACTGACGTATTATCACAACAGCCGACCGCTTGTGAACTTTCGATTGATATTGTTTCTGAAGTATCTTTTACTGAATTTGCTACCGGTTCTGAATGCTGTGGCTTATTCTCACTAACTGGTTGGGTTATTGTTGTATCAGAGAGTTTATTTTGATTAAGTTGCGCAATATTTGCAGAATGAGATGACACTGCTATTTCTTTTATTTCAGTGGATTCATTTATCATAGAACTATCAGTTTTTGCTTCTTCGATAGGCTTTACCTCTTTTACTTGTACTAAATTTTGAACTTCAACTGACGTATTATCAGAACAGCCGACCGCTTGTGAACTTTCGATTAATCTCGTTTCTGGAGTATCTTTTACTGAATTTGCTACCGGTTCTGAATGCTGTGGCTTATTTTCACTAACTGATTGGGTTGTTGTTGTATCAGAGAGTTCACTTTCATTCAGTTCTACTGTATTTTCAAGTTGAGGTGGCACTTCTTTTGCTTTTATTTCAGTGGATTCATTTACAATAGAACTATCAGTTTTTGCTTCTTCACTAGGCTTTACCGCTTTTACTTCTACTAAATTTTGAACTTCAACTGACGTATTATCAGAACAGCCGACTGCTTGTGAACTTTCATTTGATATTGTTTCTGAAGTATCTTTTACTGAATTTGCTACTGGTTCTGAATGCTGTGGCTTATTTTCACTAACTGGTTCAGTTATTTTTATATAAGAGAGTTCATTTTGATTCAGTTGTACTGTATTTTCAAGTTGAGGTGGCACTTCTTTTGCTTTTATTTCAGTGGATTCATTTACCATAGAACTATCAGTTTTTGCTTCTTCAATATGCTTTACCTCTTTTACTTCTACTAAATTTTGAACTTCAACTGACGTATTATCACAACAGCCGACCACTTGTGAACTTTCGATTGATATTGTTTCTGAAGTATCTTTTACTGAATTTGCTACCGGTTCTGAATGCTGTGGCTTATTTTCACTAACTGGTTGGGTTATTGTTGTATCAGAGTTATTTTGATTCAGTTGCGCAGTGTTTTCAAGTTGATGTGGCACTTCTGTTGCTTTAATTACAGTGGAATCGTTTATGGCAGAGCTATCAGTTTTTGCTTCTTCAATAGGTTTTACTTCTTTTCCTTCTACTAAATTTTGAACTTCAACTGACGTATTATCAGAACAGCCAACTGCTTGTGAACTTTCGATTGATATCGTTTCTGAAGTATCTTTTACTGAATTTGTTACCGCCTCTGAATGTTGTGGCTTATTTTCACTAACTGGTTGAATTATTGTTGTATCAGAGTTATTTTGATTCAGTTGCGCAGTGCTTTCAAGTTGATGTGGCACTTCTGTTGCTTTTATTACAGTGGAATCATTTATGGCAGAACTATCAGTTTTTGCTTCTTCAATAGGTTTTATCTCTTTTACTTGTACTAAATTTTGAACTTCAACTGACGTATTATCAGAACAGCCGACCGCTTGTGAACTTTCGATTGATATTGTTTCTGAAGTATCTTTAACAGAATTTGGTACTGGTTCTGAATGCTGTGGCTTATTTTCACTAACTGGTTCAGTTATTTTTATATAAGAGAGTTCATTTTGATTCAGTTGTACTGTATTTTCAAGTTGAGGTGGCACTTCTTTTGCTTTAATTTCAGTGGATTCATTTACCATAGAACTATCAGTTTTTGCTTCTTCAATATGCTTTACCTCTTTTACTTCTACTAAATTTTGAACTTCAACTGACGTATTATCACAACAGCCGACCACTTGTGAACTTTCGATTGATATTGTTTCTGAAGTATCTTTTACTGAATTTGCTACCGGTTCTGAATGGTGTGGCTTATTTTCACTAACTGGTTGGGTTATTGTTGTATCAGAGTTATTTTGATTCAGTTGCGCAGTGTTTTCAAGTTGATGTGGCACTTCTGTTGCTTTAATTACAGTGGAATCGTTTATGGCAGAGCTATCAGTTTTTGCTTCTTCAATAGGTTTTACTTCTTTTCCTTCTACTAAATTTTGAACTTCAACTGACGTATTATCAGAACAGCCAACTGCTTGTGAACTTTCGATTGATATCGTTTCTGAAGTATCTTTTACTGAATTTGTTACCGCCTCTGAATGTTGTGGCTTATTTTCACTAACTGGTTGAATTATTGTTGTATCAGAGTTATTTTGATTCAGTTGCGCAGTGCTTTCAAGTTGATGTGGCACTTCTGTTGCTTTTATTACAGTGGAATCATTTATGGCAGAACTATCAGTTTTTGCTTCTTCAATAGGTTTTATCTCTTTTACTTGTACTAAATTTTGAACTTCAACTGACGTATTATCAGAACAGCCGACCGCTTGTGAACTTTCGATTGATATTGTTTCTGAAGTATCTTTAACAGAATTTGGTACCGGTTCTGAATGCTGTGGCTTATTTTCACTAACTGGTTGGGTTATTGTTGTATCAGAGTTATTTTGATTCAGTTGCGCAGTGCTTTCATGTTGATGTGGCACTTCTGTTGCTTTTATTACAGTGGAATCATTTATGGCAGAACTATCAGTTTTTGCTTCTTCGATAGGCTTTACCTCTTTTACTTGTACTAAATTTTGAACTTCAACTGACGTATTATCAGAACAGCCGACCGCTTGTGAACTTTCGATTAATCTCGTTTCTGGAGTATCTTTTACTGAATTTGCTACCGGTTCTGAATGCTGTGGCTTATTTTCACTAACTGATTGGGTTGTTGTTGTATCAGAGAGTTCACTTTCATTCAGTTCTACTGTATTTTCAAGTTGAGGTGGCACTTCTTTTGCTTTTATTTCAGTGGATTCATTTACAATAGAACTATCAGTTTTTGCTTCTTCACTAGGCTTTACCGCTTTTACTTCTACTAAATTTTGAACTTCAACTGACGTATTATCAGAACAGCCGACTGCTTGTGAACTTTCATTTGATATTGTTTCTGAAGTATCTTTTACTGAATTTGCTACTGGTTCTGAATGCTGTGGCTTATTTTCACTAACTGGTTCAGTTATTTTTATATCAGAGAGTTCATTTTGATTCAGTTGTACTGTATTTTCAAGTTGAGGTGGCACTTCTTTTGCTTTTATTTCAGTGGATTCATTTACCATAGAACTATCAGTTTTTGCTTCTTCAATATGCTTTACCTCTTTTACTTCTACTAAATTTTGAACTTCAACTGACGTATTATCACAACAGCCGACCACTTGTGAACTTTCGATTGATATTGTTTCTGAAGTATCTTTTACTGAATTTGCTACCGGTTCTGAATGGTGTGGCTTATTTTCACTAACTGATTGGGTTATTGTTGTATCAGAGTTATTTTGATTCAGTTGCGCAGTGTTTTCAAGTTGATGTGGCACTTCTGTTGCTTTAATTACAGTGGAATCGTTTATGGCAGAGCTATCAGTTTTTGCTTCTTCAATAGGTTTTACTTCTTTTCCTTCTACTAAATTTTGAACTTCAACTGACGTATTATCAGAACAGCCAACTGCTTGTGAACTTTCGATTGATATAGTTTCTGAAGTATCTTTTACTGAATTTGTTACCGCCTCTGAATGTTGTGGCTTATTTTCACTAACTGGTTGAATTATTGTTGTATCAGAGTTATTTTGATTCAGTTGCGCAGTGCTTTCAAGTTGATGTGGCACTTCTGTTGCTTTTATTACAGTGGAATCATTTATGGCAGAACTATCAGTTTTTGCTTCTTCAATAGGTTTTACCTCTTTTACTTGTACTAAATTTTGAACTTCAACTGACGTATTATCAGAACAGCCGACCGCCTGTGAACTTTCGATTGATATTGTTTCTGAAGTATCTTTAACAGAATTTGGTACCGGTTCTGAATGCTGTGGCTTATTTTCACTAACTGGTCGGGTTATTATTGTATCAGAGTTATTTTGATTCAGTTGCGCAGTGCTTTCAAGTTGATGTAGCACTTCTGTTGCTTTAATTACAGTGGAATCATTTATGGCAGAACTATCAGTTTTTGCTTCTTCAATAGGTTTTACCTCTTTTACTTCTACTAAATTTTGAACTTCAACTGACGTATTATCAGAACAACCAACTGCTTGTGAACTTTCGATTGATATCGTTTCTGAAGTATCTTTAACTGAATTTGTTACCGCCTCTGAATGTTGTGGCTTATTTTCACTAACTGGTTGAATTATTGTTGTATCAGAGTTATTTTGATTCAGTTGATCTATATTTTGAAGTTGAGATGGCACTTCTGTTTCTTTTATTTCAGTGGATTCATTTACCAAAGAACTATCATTTTTTGCTTCTTCGATAGGTTTTACCTCTTTTACCTCTACTAAATTCTGAACTTCAACTGACGTATCATCAGAACCGCCGACCGCTTGTGAACTTTCGATTGATATAGTTTCTGAAGTATCTTTTACTGAATTTGCTACCGGTTCTGAATGCTGTGGCTTATTTTCACTAACTGGCTGGGTTATTGTTGTATCAGAGTTATTTTGATTCAGTTGTGCAGTGCTTTCAAGTTGATGTGGCACTTCTGTTGCTTTAATTACAGTGGAATCATTTATGGCAGAACTATAAGTTTTTGCTTCTTCAATAGGTTTTACCTCTTTTACTTCTACTAAATTTTGAACTTCAACTGAGTTATTATCAGAACAGCCGACCGCTTGTGAACTTTCGATTGATATATTTTCTGAAGTATCTTTAACTGAATTTGTCACCGCCTCTGAATGTTGTGGTTTATTTTCACTAACTGGTTGAATTATTGTTGTATCAGAGTTATTTTGATTCAGTTGATCTATATTTTCAAGTTGAGGTGGCACTTCTGTTGCCTTTATTTCAGTGGATTCATTTACCATAGAACTATCAGTTTTTGCTTCTTCAATATGCTTCACCGCTTTTACTTCTACTAAATTTTGAACTTCATCTGACGTATTATCAGAACAGCCGACCGCTTGTGAGCTTTCGATTGATATCCTTTCTAAAGTATCTTTTACTGAATTTGTTACCGGTTCTGAATGTTGTGAATTATTTTCACTAACTGGCTGCGTTATTGTTGTATCAGAGTTATTTTGATTCAGTTGCGAAGTGCTTTCAAGTTGAGGTGGCACTTCTGTTTCTTTTATTTTAGTGGATTCATTTACAACAGAATTATCAGTTTTTGCTTCTTCAATAGGTTTTACCTCTTTTACTTCTACTAAATTTTGAACTTCAACTGACGTATTATCGGAACAGCCGACCGCTTGTAAGCTTTCGATTGATATCGTTTCTAAAGTATCTTTTACTGAATTTGTTAGCGGTTCTGAATGTTTTGGCTTATTTTCACTGACTGGTTGAGTGATTGTTGTATCAGAGAGTTCATTCTTATTCAGTTGCGTAGTATTTTCAAGTTGAGATGGCACTTCTGTTTCTTTTATTTCAGTTGATTCATTTACGACAGAACTATCAGTTTTTGCTTCTTCAATAGGTTTTACCTCTTTTACTTCTACTAAATTTTGAACTTCAACAGACGTATTATCAGAACAGCCGACTGCTTGTGAGCTTTCGATTGATATCGTTTCTGAAGTATCTTTTACTGTTTTTGCTACCGGTTCTGAATGCTGTGGCTTATTTTCTCTAACTGGCTGCGTTATTGTTGTATCAGAGAGTTCATTCTTATTCAGTTGCGTAGTATTTTGAAGTTGAGATGGCACTTCTGTTTCTTTTATTTCAGTGGATTCATTTACGACAGAAGTTTCAGTTTTTGCTTCTTCAATAGGTTTTACCTCTTTTACTTCTACTAAATTTTGAACTTCAACTGACGTATTATCAGAACAGCCGACCGCTTGTGAACTTTCGATTGATATTGTTTCTGAAGTATCTTTTACTGAATTTGCTACCGGTTCTGAATGCTGTGGCTTATTTTCAAAAGCTGGTTGAGTTATTTTTATATCAGAGAGTTCATTTTGATTCAGTTGCGCTGTATTTTCAAGTTGAAGTGGCACTTCTGTTGCTGTTACTTCAGTAGATTCATATATCATAGACCGATCAGTTTTTGCTTGTTGGATAGGCTTTACCTCTTTTACTTCAACTAAATTTTGAACTTCAACTGACGTATTATCAGAACAGCCGACCGCTTGTGAGCTTTCGATTGATATCCTTTCTAAAGTATCTTTTACTGAATTTTTTACCGGTTCTGAATGTTGTGACTTATTTTCACTGACTGGTTGAGTGATTGTTGTATCAGAGAGTTCATTCTGATTCAGTTGCGTAGTATTTTCAAGTTGAAGTGCAACTTCTGTTTCTTTTATTTCGGTGGATTCATTTACCATAGAACTATCAGTTTTTGTTTCTTCTTTAGTTTTTTCGTCTTTAACTTGTACTAAGCTTTGAACTTCAACTTCCTTATTTATAGAGCTGACATCCAATTGTGAACTTTCGAGTGATATCGTTTCTGAGGTGTCTCTTATGGAATTTGATTCCGTTTCTGAGTGTTCTAACGCTATTTCACTGATTGATTGAGTGATTTTTGTATTAGGGAATTCATTTTCATTTAGTAGTGCAGTATGTTTAGGTTGAGCTTGCACTTGTCTTACTTTTATTTCTTCGGTTTCGTCGAAAGCAGAGCTATCCGCTTTTGCTTCTCCGAAAGGCTTATTTTTTGTTTGCTTTTGTGAATTTTCAATTACAACTGTTTGTGAATTTTCATTTGATGGCTTTTCAGAAGCTTCTTCGAATTGTGGTTTCAGTTCCGATTGTAATTGATATTTTAAAGTTGTCTCTTTATTTTGTGATGATATTTTTAAACTTTCGTTAACAATTTCATTTTGACTTGATATAAATAGTTTATTGGTGGAACTTCCATCCTCTGAAGTGTTTTGAAATTCAAAAGGTGGTGGTAAAATTATTTCAAAAGTTTGACAGTTAATAATATCATCGTCTAATTCATACACTGTGTTTAACTCGGGTAATTCTTTTATTGCCGTGTCTTTTAGTGTTTTGATAGGCTCCGTTTCTGTACTTATATCAAGTTTTCGACTTTCATTTCCTATTAAAAGTGCCTCCCCTTGGCTCTGTTCTTGTAATTTTGTGTCACGCATTAGTTGAATGGTTGCATCACCCACCACCATTTGATTCAGTTCTTTAGTATTTGCAGGTCCGGATTTGAATTCATTTTCTTTTGTTGAAGGCGACTCAGTTTCGACAGTAGTATCAAATTTTTGTTCTTTGACGGGGTTTGTTTCGTTTAGTGGTTTCAACAAAGGAGTTTCAACTTTCAAAGTTTCATTCAGTTGTACATCTTCGATTAAACATGTTTCTAAAGTGGTTTTCATTACATCTAACTCCTCTTGAGGATGTTGTTTCAACTTTGTTTCATTGTTTTCCTCACCATCTTTTGTCCTAGAAATTACAATTTCCATTTTTGGAAATTCCATATTATTTTCAAGTTTAGCAGACACTTCTGCTTCCATTATTACAACTGATTTAGTTATAACAGGACTAGTTTTTACTTCTTTTATAAGCTTTGTTTCTTTTACTTCTTCTGAATTTTGAATTTCAGCTAACATGTTATTTGAAGCTGCATTCGGTATTGAATTTTCAAATGATGGCTTTTCTAAAGTTTTTTTAATTAAATTCGATTCCACCTCTGATTGTGGTTGTAATTTTGTTTCATTTTCCGAAGTTGCATCCACTTGCGAATTTTCAATTGATAGTTTTTCGGAAGTTTCTTTTATTAAATTTGCTTCCACTTGTGCTTCCCGCTGTGGTTTTATTTCTTCACTTTCCTCATTTTTAGTAGAACAACGAATTTCAATTTCATCTAGTTCAGTTGCAATTTGAATTTGGACTGACACTTCTGTTTCTTTTGAGTCAGTAGATTCATTCAAGACGGAACTAGCAGATTTTACTTCTTCGATAGGTTTAGCATTATTTTCTTGTCCTGAATCTTTAATTTCAACTGCGTTTTTTTCTGAAACTTTTTTGTCTTGTGAACTTTTGCTTAAACACTTTTCTGAAACTTCTTCTGTTAATTTAGATTTCACTTTTGGTTGTTGTTGTGTTTCACTATCCAAAGCTACATCCACAGGTGATCTTTCAGTTGATATAATTTCCAAAACGTTTCTTGGTGAACTTAATTCTTCTTCTGAGTGTGGTTTTGGCTTTATTTCACTAGCTGATTGAGGTACTGATGTATTAGGAAGTTTAATTTGATCCAGTTGTATAGTATTTTCAGGTTGCAGTCTTTTTATTTCAAAAATTTCATTGGAAGTGACGGAACCATCAGTTTTCACGTTTTCGATAGGCTTCGTGTCGTTTTCTTTTCCTGAATTTTGTATTACATTTGATTTATTTTTAACAGTTACATCCACTTCTGATCTTTCATTTGATGGCGTTTCCGATGTTTCTATTATTTCTGCTTTAACTTCTGATCTCTTTTGTGGTTGTTTTTCGCTTTCCAAAATGGTATCCGCATGTGAGCTTTCGATTAGTGGCTTTTTCAAAATTTCTGCTTTTAAATTTGATTCCACTTGTGCTTGCTGTTGTGGTTTTATTTCAGTAGTTGCCTTATTTTGTGTTAAATTATGAAGCTCGATTTGACCGAATTCTGTTGTGTTTTTAGATTGAACTGTCACTTCTGGTTCTTTTATTGCAGTTGATTCACTTGCGAGAGAATTAGTATTTGTTTCTCCTATAAGCTCTATGTGTTGTACTTGTTCTGAATTTTGAATTTCAACTGACTTTTTATCAGAAATTTCGCCCGCTAGTGAAGTTTCGATCGTTTCTGAAGTATCTTTAACTGAATTTTCTACCATTTCTGAATGTTGTGAGTTATTTTTACTAGCTGGTTGAGTTATTGTTGTATCAGAGAGTTCATTTTGATTCAGTTGCGTAGTATTTTCAAGTTGACAGTCACTTACCACAGAACTACCAGTTTTTGCTTCTTCGATAGGCTTTACTTCTTTTACTTCTACTAAATTCTGAACTTCAACTGACGTATCATCAGAATCGCCGATCGCGTGTGAGCTTTCGATTGATATCGTTTCTGAAGTATCTTTTACTGAAATAACTACCGGTTCTGAATTTCTTACCGGTTCTGAATGTTCTGGCTTATTTTCACTAACTGGTTTAGTGATTTTTCTATCAGAGAGTTCATTGTGATTCAGTTGCGCTGCATTTTCAGGTTGAGGTGGCACTTCTGTTTCTTTTATTTCAGTTGGCTCACTTACGACAGAGCTACCAGTTTCTGCTTCTTCGATAGGTTTTTCCACTTTTACTTGCGCCAAATTTTGAACTGCAACTAACATATTATCAGAACGTGTGTCCGCTTGTGAATTTTCTATTGATATCGTTTCTGAAGTATCTTTTACTGAATCTTCTACCATTTCTGAATGTTGTGGCTTATTTTCACTAACTGGTTGAGTGGTTTTTGTATCGGAGAGTTGATTCTGATTTATTGCAGTTGATTCATTTACAGAACTATCAGTTTTTGGTTCTTCGATAGGCTTTACCTCTTTTGCTTGCACTAAATTTTGAGCTTCATTTGACGTATTATCAGAACAGCCGACCGCTTGTGAACTTTCGATTGGTATCGTTTCTGAAGTATTTTTTACTGAATTTATTACCGGTTCTGAATGTTTTGGCTTATTTTCACTAACTGATTGAGCAGTTGTTGTATCAGAGAGTTCATTTTGATTAAGTTGCGTAGTATTTTCAGGTTGAGGTGGCAATTGTGTTTCTTTTATTTGAGTGGAATCATTTACGACAGAACTATCGGTTTTTGGTTCTTCGATAGGTTTTACCTCCATTACTTCTACTAAATTTTGAACTTCAACTGATGTATTATCAAAACAGCCGACCGCTTGTGATCTTTCGATTGATATCGTTTCTGAAGTATCTTTTACTAAATTTGCTACCGTTTCAGAATGTTGCGGCTTATTTTCACTAACTGGTTGAGTAGTTGTTGTATCAGAGAGTTCATTTTGATTAAGCTGTGTAGTATTTTCAAGTTGAGGTGGCAATTGTGTTTCTTTTATTTCAGTGGAATCATTTACGACAGAACTATCAGTTTTTGATTCTTCAATAGGCTTTACCTCTATTACTTCTACTAAATTTTGAACTTCAACTGATGTATTATCAGAACAGCCGACCGCTTGTGATCTTTCGATTGATATCGTTTCTGAAGTATCTTTTACTGAAATTGTTCCCGGTTCTGAATATTGTGGCTTATTTTCACTAACTGGTTGTGTTATTGTTGTAACAGGAAGGTCTTTTTGATTGAGTTGTGCAACACTTGCAGGTTGAGGTGGCTCCACTATTTCTTTTAGTTCAGTTGATTCACTTACGACAGAACTATCAGTTTTCGCTTCTTCGATAGGCTTTTCTACTTTTTCTTGCACTAAATTTTGAACTTCAACTGACGTATTATCAGAACAGCCGTCCGCTTGTGAATTTTCGATTGATGCCGTTTTTGAAGTATCTTTCACTGAATTTGCTACCGTTTCTGAATGTTGTGGCTTATTTTCACTAGCTGGTTGAGTAATTTTTGTATCAAAGTTATTTTGATTCAGTTGCGCAGTGCTTTCAAGTCGATGTGGCACTTCTGTTGCTTTAATTACAGTGGAATTATTTATGGCAGAACTATCAGTTTTTGCTTCTTCAATAGGTTTTACCTCTTTTACTTCTACTAAATTTTGAACTTCAACTGAGTTATTATCAGAACAGCCGACCGCTTGTGAACTTTCGATTGATATTGTTTCTGAAGTATTTTTTACTGAATTTATTACCGGTTCTGAATGTTGTGGCTTATTTTCACTAACTGATTGAGCAGTTGTTGTATCAGAGAGTTCATTTTGATTCATTTGCGTAGTATTTTCAAGTTGAGATGGCACTTCTATTTCTTTTGTTTGAGTGGATATATTTACGACAGAACTATCGGTTTTTGGTTCTTCAATAGGTTTTACCTCTATTACTTCTACTAAATTTTGAACTTCAACTGAGTTATTATCAGAACAGCCGACCGCTTGTGAACTTTCGATTGATATTGTTTCTGAAGTATTTTTTACTGAATTTATTACCGGTTCTGAATGTTTTGGCTTATTTTCACTAACTGATTGAGCAGTTGTTGTATCAGAGAGTTCATTTTGATTAAGTTGCGTAGTATTTTCAGGTTGAGGTGGCAATTGTGTTTCTTTTATTTGAGTGGAATCATTTACGACAGAACTATCGGTTTTTGGTTCTTCGATAGGTTTTACCTCTATTACTTCTACTAAATTTTGAACTTCAACTGAGTTATTATCAGAACAGCCGACCGCTTGTGAACTTTCGATTGATATATTTTCTGAAGTATCTTTAACTGAATTTGTCACCGCCTCTGAATGTTGTGGTTTATTTTCACTAACTGGTTGAATTATTGTTGTATCAGAGTTATTTTGATTCAGTTGATCTATATTTTCAAGTTGAGGTGGCACTTCTGTTGCCTTTATTTCAGTTGATTCATTTACCATAGAACTATCAGTTTTTGCTTCTTCAATATGCTTCACCGCTTTTACTTCTACTAAATTTTGAACTTCATCTGACGTATTATCAGAACAGCCGACCGCTTGTGAGCTTTCGATTGATATCGTTTCTAAAGTATCTTTTACTGAATTTGTTACCGGTTCTGAATGTTGTGGCTTATTTTCACTAACTGGCTGCGTTATTGTTGTATCAGAGTTATTTTGATTCAGTTGCGCAGTGCTTTCAAGTTGAGGTGGCACTTCTGTTTCTTTTATTTTAATGGATTCATTTACGACAGAATTATCAGTTTTTGCTTCTTCGATAGGCTTTTCTACTTTTTCTTGTACTAAATTTTGAACTTCAACTGACGTTTTTGAAGTATCTTTCACTGAATTTGCTACCGTTTCTGAATGTTGTGGCTTATTTTCACTAGCTGGTTGAGTAATTTTTGTATCAAAGTTATTTTGATTCAGTTGCGCAGTGCTTTCAAGTTGATGTGGCACTTCTGTTGCTTTAATTACAGTGGAATTATTTATGGCAGAACTATCAGTTTTTGCTTCTTCAATAGGTTTTAGCTCTTTTACTTCTACTAAATTTTGAACTTCAACTGAGTTATTATCAGAACAGCCGACCGCTTGTGAACTTTCGATTGATATTGTTTCTGAAGTATTTTTTACTGAATTTATTACCGGTTCTGAATGTTTTGGCTTATTTTCACTAACTGATTGAGCAGTTGTTTTATCAGAGAGTTCATTTTGATTAAGTTGCGTAGTATTTTCAGGTTGAGGTGGCAATTGTGTTTCTTTTATTTGAGTGGAATCATTTACGACAGAACTATCGGTTTTTGGTTCTTCGATAGGTTTTACCTCTATTACTTCTACTAAATTTTGAACTTCAACTGATGTATTATCAGAACAGCCGACCGCTTGTGATCTTTCGATTGATATCGTTTCTGAAGTATCTTTTACTGAAATTGTTCCCGGTTCTGAATATTGTGGCTTATTTTCACTAACTGGTTGTGTTATTGTTGTAACAGGAAGGTCATTTTGATTGAGTTGTGCAACACTTGCAGGTTGAGGTGGCTCCTCTATTTCTTTTATTTCAGTTGATTCAACTACGGTAGAACTATCAGTTTTTGCTTCTTCGATAGGCTTTTCTACTTTTTCTTGTACTAAATTTTGAACTTCAACTGACGTATTATCAGAACAGCCAACTGTTTGTGAAAATTCGATTGATATTGTTTCTGAAGTATTTTTTACTGAATTTGTTACAGGTTCTGAATGTTGTGGCTTATTTTCACTAGCTGGTTGAGTAATTTTTATGTCGGAGAGTTCATTTTGATTCAGTTGCGTAGTATTTTCAGGTTGAAGTGGCACATGCGTTTCTTTTATTGCAGTGCATTCATTAACGATAGAACTATCGGTTTTTGCGTCTTCGATAAGCTTTACCTGTTTTGTTTGCACTAAATTTTGAATTTCAACTGACATTTTATCAGAACATGCATTCGCTTGTGAACTTTGGATTGATGATATCGTGTCTGAAGTATCTTTTACTGAATTTGTTACCGGTTCAGAATGTTGTGGCTTTTTTTCAGTAACTGGTTGAGTAGTTGTTGTGTCACAGAGTTCATTCAGAGTCAGTTGCGTAGTATCTTCAAGTTGAGATGGCATTTCTGTTTCTTTTATTTCAGTGGATTCACTTACGACAGAACTATCGGTTTTTGCTTCTTCGATAGGCTTTTCCTCTTTTGCTTTCACTAAATTTTGAACTTCATTTGAGGTATTATCTGAAGAGTCGACCGCTTGTGATCCTTCGATTGATATCGTTTCTGAAGTATCTTTTACTGAATTTGTTACCGGTTCTGAATGTTGTGGCTTATTTTCACTAACTGGTTGAATTATTGTTGTAACAGGAGGCTCATTTTGATTGAGTTGCGCAATATTTGCAAGTTGAGGTGGCTCCTCTATTTCTTTTATTTCAGGTGATTCAACTACGGCAGAACTATCAGTTTTTGCTTCTTCGATAGGCTTTTCTACTTTTTCTTGTACTAAATTTTGAACTTCAACTGACGTATTATCAGAACAGCCAACTGTTTGTGAACATTCGATTGATATTGTTTCTGAAGTATTTTTTACTGAATTTGTTACAGGTTCTGAATGTTGTGGCTTATTTTCACTAGCTGGTTGAGTAATTTTTGTGTCGGAGAGTTCATTTTGATTCAGTTGCGTAGTATTTTCAGGTTGAAGTGGCACTTGCGTTTCTTTTATTGCAGTGCATTCATTAACGATAGAACTATCGGTTTTTGCGTCTTCAATAAGCTTTACCTGTTTTGTTTGCACTAAATTTTGAACTTCAACTGACATTTTATCAGAACATGCATTCGCTTGTGAACTTTGGATTGATGATATCGTGTCTGAAGTATCTTTTACTGAATTTGTTACCGGTTCAGAATGTTGTGGCTTTTTTTCAGTAACTGGTTGAGTAGTTGTTGTATCAGAGAGTTCATTCTGAGTCAGTTGCGTAGTATCTTCAAGTTGAGATAGCATTTCTGTTTCTTTTATTTTAATGGATTCACTTACGACAGAACTATCGGCTTTTGATTCTTCGATAGGCTTTTCCTCTTTTGCTTGCACTAAACTTTGAACTTCAATTGACGTATTATCAGAACAGCCGACCGCTCGTGAAATTTCAATTGGTATCTTTTCTGAAGTATCTTTTACAAAATTTGATTTCGTTTCTGAATGTTGTTCTGATTTTATTTCACTGATTGATTGAGTTATTGTTGTGTCAGGGAGTTGATTTTGTTTGAGCTGCGTAGTATTTTCCGGCTGGGTAGGCACTTTTGTTTTATTTATATCAGTGGATTCAGTTATAACAGATTTATCAGTTTTTGCTTCTTCTATAGGTTTTGCGTCTTTTAATTCTTCTGAATTTTGAATTTCAACTAAGACCCTATTTGAAATTTCATGCGTTTGTGAATTTTCGTATGAGGGCCTTTCCGAAGTCTTTTTTATTAAATTTGATTCCAATTCTGACTGTTTTTTTGGCTGTTTTTCACATTTCGAGATTGAACCCTCTTGTAAAATTTCTGTTGATATCTTGTCTAAAGTCTTTTGGAAGCTCTCACTTTCAGTTGTTAAGTTTGTCGGTATTGTGTCCACAGGCGATTTTTCTTTTGACGGCTTTTCTAGAGAGTCAGTTTGTAAGTTTTCTTCTTGCAACGATTGTTTTGGGCTTGTTTCACATTTTTCAGATTGCAATGTTGGTTTTGTTACTTGAGTCGTCTCCAGTTCGATACAAACTTCAGTTTTTAATTCTTGGATCGACTTTGTTTTTTTTGTCTGTTCCGAAATATTGTTTACATATTCCAGATTTTTTGAGGAAATATTTGCTGTTGAATCTTCAGAAAGTTCTACGTAATTACCTCCTACGTTAGTTGCAGGATTAAGCGGCAATTCTGCTATTTCGATTTGGAAAGTTTCATTTTTATTGTAATTATCATCACTGTGTTCTGTGCTAATATGACTCTCAAGCTTATTTTTGACCTCATTAATTTCTTTTAGCTCTTTGGCTGGTTGGGGCAAAACTATTCTGATTTCATCCATGGAAGGAGGAGGTGGACAGATGAAAATATTTAAATCGTCATCAAAAGGTAATGGCTGTACCGGAGTTTGGAGTTCACATTTTAGTGGTCCTATTTCTATATCACTTAGAAGTTGTGATATGTGTAGCAAAACATCTGATGGTAGCAAAATGGGGTTTGAATCGATTTCACTGAGGTTGTTTCCATCAATTTTGTCTTGTTGAGAATCATCTCGTTGTTCTGAGTTGCTATAGTTTCCATTTGGTTCATCATTACTGCATAACTGCTTTTCTTCCATAGTTTTTATAATATGATCAACAAAAGCACTTGCAATCAGTGAATCGCTTATGTTACCATTTTGAAATGAAGTTCTTTTATTATTTATAACTACTGGTTGCTCGTTAAATCGTACTTGTTTTGTTGGACTAATTTTGCCCGATTCGATGTCTTCCAGTCGATGTTTTAAAATTGGAGTTGATATTCCTGATTCAGGAGTTGCATATCCGGAGCTTGCTTGTTTCGTAGTAGGCGTGCACATACCAGATTCCGTTGCTTCAATACTCGGACTTGGACAGGGCATTCCATGATGAGTGGATGGGCTTTCGACATCGTAGTATTTTTCTTCGGGAACATCTGAAATAACTTCTTCCGAATCGGTAAGAATACTCACAACGTCAGTTTTATTTGTAATAGTTTTTAAAACATCTTCCTCAATATCAGGAGAGAAAACAGTCAAAACTGGTCCGAGTGCGATTGCAGCTAAAAATTCTATAGCAGAATGTCGTCTTCTTTGGTTTCCTCGGCTCTCCATCGTTAGATCATCTGTATTTGAATTACTATCTACGTTTTCATTTGATTCAGCTTCTTTAGGATCAGTATCGGTAGCTGAAACATGAAGTTTGGGTACTTAAAACATGAAAAGATATTTCATAGACCACTCACTACTTGGCTCTACTTGACTTTCAGGTACTTACTTATTCTTTTAAAGTTTTACTCTACATTTTAGCATATTACGACAAAAACATACTTTGGAAGAAAAAATCTAATTTGGGTTCTAAGCCAATAAGATTTATTTTGTTAAAAAATAATCACTTACCTTGTGGATTAATTTCTGATTTTATAAGGTTCATGCACTCAGCATTATCATTGTTTTCAGTTTTTTGCTCATTTATCTCATCATCATTTTTTCCAATATTAACTCCTATAACCGTATTAACAGCCTCTGTTTTCAATGTGATACCTGTACAATTAAGATCTAAGTTTGAATTTTCTGTAACATTTAGGCCATATTTATAGTCAACATAATCATTTTTTGTTTCGATATAAGGGACAACATTGTCAGTCACTGAACTAGTTTGTGATATAAAACTAGTTTGTTCCATTAGGTCGTCAAATAAACCGACAACATTCTGACCCCCGATTACTACTTTATTTTGCATTCTATAATTTTCAGGCCCAGAATCGTTATTATTCGCATTGGTTTCATCACTTTCTTCATTTTCAGAAAAATCACTGATTTCATCAGCGCTTTTATCTCCAATCATTGCTTTAATATCTTCTTTGGGGGCGGGAACCAACATACCAATAGGAGCAGTAGGATGTGTTAATAATTTACGCTTTTTAAATAGCCAGTTTTCTTCCCAAGTACTATCAGCTCCTGATGCTACAGAAGCATAATCTTAAAATATTTACATTTTAAAATATTTCAAAAGTTTTCACTTCAACCGATAATAATATTTTTGATCGAATTAGAAGTAGTTAAGAAAATGCTTAAGAATCAAATGGTGGAAAGAAAATTTTTTATAAATATTGCGATATTTACCTTCGAATGAATCATTATCCGATTGAATATTTCGAAAACTTGCTCTACTTTCACTTATTGCAGATTCTAAATCAAAATTTTCATTAAGGACATTGGCGTATAAATGTGAAGCTAAATTGTTATGATTAATCTGCAAAATATTTCCAATAAATTATACATGATATTTAAAATAATTAAATTCACTTACATCTTGTACAGGATCTGTTAAGCTACTATCGCTTCGGGGATCATGTGAACTAGATGAGGAAGATTCAGTACATAATTCAGTTGTGATGGGAATTTTATTTTGATTATTATCAATACATTTAATGGAGCTCTCGCTGACGGATCTCCTTTCTGTGGCACATGTATCTACAATCTAATGAAAAACCAATTGAAAATTATGTTATAAGCATTTTTGTACAGCAACGCTTTACAAAAATTATGTCAAAAGGAGGGAAGCATGTAAAGAAAGATTTTCTTGTCCTCAGTATAAGACTGCAAATTTTTGCAATTAAAACTTTGGGAAGATGGAAAAAACCAAAGAAAATTTCCGATTTTAAATGACTGAATCTATTTGCAATTAAAACCAGGTTTGCACATTTATTTTTTGTTTTTGTTCATACGAAAATTTTATGTATTTCATATACTATTGCAAAATGCTTGAAAAACAGTAAGCTTTAACTTTAGTTATATAAAGAAGAGAATTATTTTATTATAACATTTTTTGTATACTTTGAAGTCGGCGCCGTTTACCAGCATAACAAGATTTTGGAATTAAGAATGTCATATTTTCCGAAAGAGAAGTTTCTCCTTATACATTCACCGGGATGTTAGCTGCAACTTCTATCTGTTTCAAGATAAAGCCCGACTGTAGCCACATTTGTGCAAATGAAATTAAGGTATGTAAATATTTTTTTTTGTATTTCGTGAAGCATAACGTCTTTATTTTGCCCTTTTATTGCCATTTGCCCAAAAAAAATCCCTTGTTTCCCTTCCCTTAATTTTGTTTTATTTAAGGTTTTTTTTTTTGAGCTTCTCTATTCTTAATTATTTATGACACGTATTAGCTGTGTCATGTAACACTTGCGTAAGATTAACACTGTTTAAGAAGGCATAAAATATGTATTACGTAAACATTGTTTTTGCAATGATTTCGGTTTTTTTTTTCAAAAAAAGAAAAGTGTTACATAAAATAAAAAAAATCTGAATAATATAATATGAACACATGCATTGACATAATTTATTTGTGTACGTGTGTATGTTTCTATTATAATTCTTATAAATCTTCAAGTAAAATCTGAACTAAATTGTAAAAATTGGAAAAAAAAATTAAATCACTTATATTGTTATACACTATAATATGTAAGTGATTTAATTTTTTAATATTCTTTTGTTCATATACTTGAATAATTAAATTGTCGTGTAAATAAAAGAATAATATTATTATTTTTAACGTAAAAAAAATGGTATAACCAAACAGAAGGAAACGCGCCATAGAAGAAAATGTATAAAAAGAGAGAAAATAAATGGACGAAAAAAATGTAACAATAACCCTTTTTTCTAAATTATCGATTTTTGCAGTCTAATTATGTGCAGCAACAAGAGCTATTATCGTATTTTAAATACAATTATTCTTTAAATATAGAAATGTATTTTAGGAATTTATTTATAATTTTTAAAAATATGATCTGTTAAGAAAATAATATTTGAATAATTAATTTATTTCTGCATAAATGGATAAGCCATTTAGAAAAAAAAACTTTAATTTTTTTAATTCACAATAGACATTTAATTTTAAATTTAGTTCATAGTTTTTGTTGCGTTCTATTTAAAAGTATATATAAGACTTTGAACGTATATAACAGTTATATAGCACTTCTATTTCAGCCAATTAATCTAATCCGCCAATTTATTATTCTAATAGCCAATTTAAAGGAGTATTTGAGAACATTAGTTTTACATTCAATCCGGTAGATGTCTTTATAAATAAATATATTATATAGAAAATCACATACTGCATATGTAAGTCAAGTCCATGTTACAATTTAAATATATAGGTTTAAATAATTTTCATATTAATTTATGAACTACTTCCAACTAAACCCTAGATAAAATAATATAGAATGCTTTACAATTCAGAATAATTTATAATTTTAGTTAAAAGAGATATAAGGGGAGTCTTGATTTTGAATTTTTAATTTTTACGATATTGTCGTAATTTCTTACGACATTTCTTTTTTTTTTTGAAAAAAATTAATTGCATTCGTTTTGATTTATTTTATTATTTAATTGTTTTTAAAAATTTCTGTTTTTTGTTAAGACCAAATATCCACAAAAATAATCCAATAAAAATTGTGATTTACTTTATCCATATTGTAGAAAAAAATTTAAGAATTTTAATAATTTTTTATTTATTTTTAAACGTTTTTAATATTATAAATTTTTTTGTTATTTAAATTTATTATATTGTGTAATATTATTTACGACATTATTTTGAATAAATAATTTTACAATTTAAAAAGTCTTTGAAAAACTTATTTTCTGATTTTAAATTAACTATTTTTTTTTTTATTTTTTTCAAACTACTTTTTAGAAAATAAGAAATTTATTTTTTTTAATTCAATTATATTAGAAGTTTATAAAACATTTTTTTTATTATTTTTAGTTGCCTATAAATATGCAACGTTTTGCATTAACCGTTTTATATTGACTAAATAATAAACCAAATCATTGCAAAAGTTCGTTTGAAACTGAACTGATGTTTTGCAAATAATTTCTATAAAGAGTTATTTTCGTAAAAGACGTATTTGAAAATAGAAAATAATTTCTGTTTTTTTTAGCATATACACACGCATACACAAATAATTTATACACTCTCGGAAGCCCTACAAAATTTTTCTATTCTAATGTTGAAATTTACTGGACGACATAGTTTTCTCTTTGATTCTTTTGTCATGTAATTTAAATTTTTTTTTTGTTGAGTAGTTTTCGATTTTAGCGCACAATTATATGCAATATTAATTGAATTTTTTTCAAACTTGTGTAATAAATACATGCACCCGTACATACATATATACAATATTTTATTTTATTATTTTTTTTTTAAAAAAGGTCTTGTCCAAGGAATGGTATTAAAAATAAATGAATATTATTGTTGTCTTTATAACATATAGTATAGATTTACTGGTATATATGAGGCGTAATATGTAAGAAAGAAAATAAATATAATCAATGCATTATGTATGCAAAAATAAAATAAATTTGGCGCCACACGATATTTTAATTAGAAATTGTAAAATGTTTTTAAGATTTTATGACCTTTGCCAAAATATAACACACATTTGTATTATTTCAATTGTATTGTTAAGTTAAAAATCATATTGGGCATATTAACAATATTACATAATCAAACTATATTTTTAGGAGGTTTTAGGAGGAACTATTGGAGGATCAACATCACATCTTTTTTGATAAATTTTTACCAATCAAAATTTTCAGGTCTGAAAGGGACAATTAAAAAAAAATTTTTGACATAAAATTCAAAAATTTTTTGTTACACTTTAAACTTTTGGGGTCTCTTTAAAATATTTATTAATGCAAAACAAATAATTACACCTCATTAGTATATTTAACTAGTTTGACCTCACTTGATTTGCTCATAAGATCATAAAAATTTATGGAATATTAAACATACGAATTAAGTAAATTTAAAATCTTTAATGATCTTAAGTGATTCTATTCATTTCTATTAGATTTAATTTTTAATTTAAAAGAATTTTAAGTATAGTTTAAGCTTATTATAAGAAAAAATAGTATTTTGCTCCAGTTAAAAAATTATTTTCGTATATCAAAAAAAAAATAAACAAAAATATTATAATTCATATTTTACCTTATTTAAAACAGCAGTAGCCAATAGCTCTTGATATCTTTTTGGGTCAAAATATTGAGGATTATTTCCTTCTATCATGTCATAACCAAAATCATCATTACTTTTACTTATTTTATTATTATATTTTCTATTTGAATTTCTATTCTTATGCCGTCTCTCATAATGTGGTTGTAAAAGATTATCACTGCTTGTTAAATGTTGTGGTACTCCACTAAAATCAGTTAATTGTGGTATTCGAAGTGTTTCATCTATAATCCTTTCTATTAATCGCTTTAATTTAATATGCGATATATTAGTAGGATTAATATTATCCAAATTATTTGAAGAATTACTCTCCCATAATGGTAAATCTAAAATATAAAATTAATAAATATATATATATAAATATATTTACAGTTAAGTATGAAAATAAATTTTTATAGAATTTAAAATTTAAATTTGCTTTAATAATTGAAATTTTCGAAATATTGAAATAAAAATAGTTTTTTGTTTTATGCTTTTTAGCTTAATATTAATTATTTTATATGAGCATATGTCGTGGAAACTGAGGAAGGTGAGAGAGAATGATACTTTTGATAAGGCTTAATGTTGACTCAAAAGTGGTCTCAGTATTTATTAAAAATTGTTTCGATGAGAAATTAAATTCGAATCTTTTGCCTGAGCCATTCGAGACTTTGAAATTAATCTTCTTTATGTTACTTTCTTTTCCGGAACGTAGAAACTGCTTGTAAAAGGAGTGCTGATAGTATAATTGACGACACAGCAATGATTGAATGACAGACAACCAAGAAATAGTTTTGTTATTGTAATAAACATTTAATGATTAAAAATATTCTCAAACATGTAAGAAAACTAATTTACCTTTCTGGTTATTTAGTGCTTCAAATAATTATTAATTACAATAACAAAGAGAAGTATGTACTGCAAATTATGTATGAAGCTTGTAAATATTTATAATTTACTTAAATATAATCAGCATTTTCTTGATTTTTAAATAGGATGAAACTTATTAAATTTTTATATACTTTAGTTTTTTATAGGAGAATACAAGATTAAATCTCAATTGTTGCTCATAGTATTTCAATAACCTTGATTAATATTCAAGAACTTCTGGTATCTTCTGATGCCATAGGTTCTATCCACTTAATGTAATGTATATAACAAATATAAAACATATTTTAAACTGAATATTAAAATTTTTTTCAAACTTACCTAATTTAACTTCAATAATATAAACAATTAAAAATATTATCACAGCAAATAAACCATAAATGAATGTTAATGATTCCAATAAAGAATCCATAGTAGCGTTTATATACATAAATATTATTTACTTATATATATATTCATACACCATATATGTAATTGATAATTTCTAAGAATTTAATTAAAGTTTCTTCTATATTATAAAATTATTATATAATATTCCTGTTATACAATCTAATTTTGTTATTATGCGAAAATTGTATACACACGAAATTGCACATAACCTCAATTAATAATTATAATTTCTTATAAATTCATTATTCACTTGCGTGTATAGTCGTAAGTTAAATCGTGCTTCTTAATTTATTATTACTACAACTTTTATAATTTAAACATTTTGAACATTAGACTTGGTATTAAAGTTCATCTCATTTAAAATACTAAAATTCCTTTTTATTGTTATATAATATTATTTATTTTAGAATTTACAATTTCGAATATCGAAGATACTTAATACAAATTAATTTTATAATAATTTTAATATAATTTTTTTTTGTAGTTTTACTTTAATTAATATTTAAAAAATTTATATAAAATTTTTTCAATAAAAACTTAGAAGTTCCTTCTACTGTCGACAAGCAATTACAAGCAATATTTGAATTATTTTTTTTATTAAGAACTACTTAAACACCATATTCTGAGTAAGAAATTTGAAATAATGAAAAATTGAAAAAACTAAAAAAATATAAAACAAAAAAATAAATTTACTTTTATTTTCAAATCAACCGCTTTTAAAAATGATTAAAATACAAATAATTTTTAATAAAACAAAAGAAAAAAAGCGGTAATAAAAAAATTATTAAACAATTAAAAGAACTTTAACACAAGTGGTTAAAGTTCTACTGTAGAAAATAAAAATAAAACTTAAAAATAAAAGTACAAAAAAAAGAACATATGTTTGTAAGTAAATATTTGCATCATTTGTACATACATATGTGGAAATGTAACACTCACACTTGCTCGTAAGAGAGTAAAAATATTTCAACTTAAAAAAAAAAAAACAAAAGTTTGTCAAAGTTCAATTCAAAAGAAAAATCATTTAAAATTTCTTTCCTACTTTTTTTGTGTTTGAATTGTTAGAAAGAGAACTTGTTAAGAAATAATTGAAAAAGCTTATACTTAAATACGATAGAGCATACCTAATAGTGTCAAAAAAATAAGGAATTGAAAATTAAAATTTTGAAAACTAAAAGAGAGAGAGTTAAAATATTAAATCTTTTTTTTTGGGAAGTCTGACATTAGTAGATTGGTCGATTTGGTAGACATTATGGTAGATTGGTTTGTTTATAGATAGAAGAAGTCATTCTTGATCTTTCTGTTTCAATGTTAATAGCATATTTTTAAGAATCAATTATTTTCTTTAATATAATAATTCATTTTTTACCATAAATTTTTCATATTTTTTTTTTTGACATTGAGACTTCAAAAGGTCAATAATGTCGAAAATTTACTGTAAATATTATTTTAAATGTCACTTCACTGTATATATAGCGTTTATGTTATTAAAGGCATTAACTGTATTGAATGGTTTTTTTTCAATCGAAGCAAAAGAAAAAAAAAATCATACCTTTAATAAATTTTAAAATAAGAAATTCATTAACATTTTAACATAACAGTAAAGTTATCAAACATCACATAATATACCTACATACATACATACACATAACGATAATATTTTGTTTTTATTATGAAGGTTAAAATGATTTTGATGATGGTAAAATAAGGCCATCAGTTCACTTTCTGTTTCCATTATTATAAAATTTCTTTTTTTCTTCTTTGTTGTTTTCGCGTTTCATTTTATTTTTTCAATTTTTTTATACATAAAATAGGAAAAATTAATCATTTAAAGGTAAATTTGACAAAAGTCAAATTCATTACGTCATTAAAATAATAAAAATTTTAATCAAAAATTATCACATTTATTTAGTTTAAAATAAATTAACTAATTTGCAATTATACAAACAACTATTGCATAAAAAACTTCATATGTGTATAAATGTGTGCATTAATTAATGCAATCATAAGGCTTATACTCGTATTCATTAATTTATTTTTGTAGCAATTTAAAATGATGCACAAAATATAAAATTCAAAATCACGACAGAACCAATTCTTATTCAAATCTGTCAGTTTATAAGAGATTTTCTTAATTTACAGTTATTATTTACTAATTAATATTTATTTACTTTTATAAAAAAATTTAATTTTAATTTTATATTATTGGAGTGTAAAAATAAAAAAAATAGTCATACAAAGAAATTTTAAAAGTAATTCAAATTTGAACTCATCCAAAATAAAATTAAAATTACGAAATTGTAAAATAAATACGGAAATGAAAAAAATTGCAATTTATTATTATCAACAATTTTGCAAGAAAAAAAAAATATTTTCATATTTTTTTAGTGTAATTGTAAAAACTAATTGCATAAGTAAAGATACCAATTTTTTCCAAGTAAAAAAGCTGAAAAATTATTTTAAAATTATAAAAAATACACAGAAAATCAAAATTCTTAATTAAAATTCTTTCAAAATTTAGCAATTCTTTCCATAAATTTCCCAAATGCTAATGATGTACAGTACCATATTGTTATATTTTGAAACTACAGGAAAAAATTTTAGAACTACAATTTTGTAAAACATTAATTTTTTTACAGTTATATATTGCTATGTAGCTGAATAGTTTCAAGTTTAAATTGTTGCATTTTATTGTTTCCCACAGGGCATTTCTATGATTTCTTTATTATAATAAATTTTTCTATTTTCGCTTTTTTAAAAATATTATATTTTGTGAGGGACTTGTAACAAAGCAAGAGACGTGAGACCGTATATTTTGAAAATTTACGAATTTAAATTAATCTTGATATTTTATAAAACAGCAATCATCTTTTTAAAATTATGGTAATAATGACATTGACCTTTTATGTAATATTAATATAAAATTATAACATATTACACAATAATAAAACGCACATTGTATTTAAAAAAAACAATATGTAACAAAACTAGTTTTGTTAATTTAATTGATATTGGAATTGATTTTTATTTTCATTATGATTGTTAATATGTTTTATCACCTGCTACATTAATAATGATTTATTTTAATTATTTAAATATTCACTTATTTACTTGTTGACCTTAATAACATTACATTTTTTTTTCAATTATTATATAAAAGTGAGCATAAAAATCGCACTTAAAGAATTTTTACATTATTTCTATATTTTTCTATAATAATTATGATTTAATAATTATGATTTAATAATGATAAAATGTTAATTTTGATAAGATTTTTTTTTTTTCAAAATTTGTGTTTTTTATTTTGAATAACTTTTATCTTCTCTTATCTCTCAGTGCCACAGATAATTTCTAAATATAACACTTATAATATAAGTTCTGTAAATACACCAACAAAAAAGATAATGAAGAATAAACACAGACTTTTTTGAATTATTTACGCTCAAGGATAAAAAACGAAAAATAAATTTAAGATTTTTTAATAAAAATAATTTAAAAATAAAATATCCGATAAATAAAACAAAGTCATCGCACAACACTATAACGCTACATAATTATTTTTAGTACAAATATGTACACATACGCACATGTGTTCATAATTATCGATAATTGATTTAATTTCCGATATATACGTTCGCCTTACTAGATGTAAATTACTTTTTTCACGTTCGATTCATCGTGCTGCTGTACCGGTTTTAAATTTTTATTTTTTCTTTAATGATTTTATAACGTTTAATATAATTTTAGTGTAGTAGCGATTGTAAAATTCAAAAGGTACTGAATGCGAATTTTAAGCTTTTTTTTTTTGTAAATATTAAATGTAAAAAAAAAAAATTGGGAAATTTTCGAAAAAATTTTTAAAAAAGAAAAAAAAAACTCTGAGAGATAACCACAGAAAAACAATTAAAATTTATTTATTTGGTTATATTTAGATAGCAGGGTGGTGTATATTTGTGTATAATCAGGTATAATGTGATAATATATAAATATTAAAGAAAAAAAAATTAATTATTTTTTATTTACTATACATTGAAAATTAAAGAAATCGATGTATTGTCATACCGAGGTGAAAATTTATTAAAAACATTCGGAATATTTTGACATTTTGGTTAGTTAAAGCGTAATTTGCACTTAAGAGCTGCATTCGAATTTTGCATTTTAAAAAATTCGAGCGTCCAAAAAAAGTGTCACTTACATTAATTTTATTAAATTTTTTTAATTTTTATATTTATTAACGAACCTTTCTTAAGTTTGTAACAGCTATGCTTTTCTGCTAGCAGGGAAGGATTTTGTTGCCTCTACTTTGGTGTATGGTGATAGATGGTCTTCTGTATATGACGTTTGATAGCGGGCATAATGTGCAAGGTTACAGTGTTGATCTAATAGTTGTTGCGAGAGAGCAGCATAATGACGTCGTACTTAAACCGAATGCATTCGGGCACTAAACATTAATCGGGACTGTCCTCATTTTATGGATACGACTGAGGGACTTGTAACCATAAAATAGTTCATGCTTTATAATTTTATGAATTTTATGAAGTAATTTTTTTTTCACTATTTTCAAGTTATTCCGCAATAATATTGAATTTGGAATGTGTGGAATAATTGCATACCAATTTTTTCATTCACCTTTATTCTTACCTTATGATAATTTTTTTTTTTTAATGTTTACAGGTTGGTCTTTATGAATTTTTGTGTTATCTTGAACTTTGTTATGATAACATATGTATGTATATGTATTCATAGGTACATACATACATAGATTATTTATTTCATAATTGTATGATTTTTAAGTTGAGATTGGTTCGTCTGTCTTTATTAATTTAATTTCAATTTTTATCATTTTTATATATTTTACTATTTTTGTTATAATGATTTGTTGATCGTATTACTACATGATTTTGTCAAATTAATATTATTATAATGCAGCATTTTGCTTATGATTTGACAGTGTTATGTAAATATGTCTATAACGCAGTAATTTCAATGTATTTTTCAGCTGAAAATTGTAATATAACATTCCTGTCAAGGTCAAAATGAAAGTAAAAGAAAACAATTAAAATAAAAAACAGAAAAACGTCTCTAGTAAATTGTGATTGCTATAAGAAAGTTTTGAAAATGGGCCAAATTCTTATTTTGAATCTGGTTCAATCAAATCGAAATCACAAAATATAAAAAATTGACGATAACTGTATGTTAAATTTGATAGTTGAGAAAATATTACATAGTTTGTAATTTTGAATTCGGGTGTCATTCGTGATTTTCAAAATATTTTAATGTTGTATTTGTTTTGTATGATTATAAAAAAAACAGTATGACATACAAAATTTTCTGCTAAAATCAATACTCTCATACTTGTTTTAAATTATAAATGCCATTTGGGAAAACCGCATTTTGAATTGCGTTAATTAATTTTATTATTTCTATTATTCTACTATTTAATTTTCTTATTAAAATGTAATAATTTTTAAATCATTAAAACTCTAATGAGTAAAATTATAAATATTTTGCTATTATTGTTATTCTTTTATTGATAAATTTCATTCAGTATATTAAATATAAAATTGTAAAATGATTCAGACACAAAGAAATTCGCGTATGATTATTCAAAAATCAAAGGCGCTGTACTCATTTGAATAACAGTTGTTTTCTCTAATTATATTATGGATTAATTGCGAAAATTATTGCATGAGTAACGATATTGAATGTTTTACATTAAAATTGAAAAAATTCTACTTAGAAACATAAAGTATAAATTTTATATTACAATTTGCAACAAACGTAACCGGCTCGTTAATCCGCAACAGTTTATTGGGCGGTTTATTATTTTATGAATTAATTACTTAATATCGATTTGTACAATTTGACTTATATAATCGCATTAGTGCACCCTTTAAAAACATTTAATTGCCGTTTTACTTTTTTTTTTATTGCAGTTAAACTACAAATTTTTTACTGATAACATTTATTTTAATTTTTTAATATATTTAACTATATATCAGAAACTTCGGTTACTAAACAGTATATAGGGTTAAATTTGATCAATTAATACATATCGAATAAGTACATTGTGATATTGAATTTAATTTGCCATAAATTTAACATAAATTGTACTATATATATAAAATTATACTTTTATAATTTAAATTATAAATTTTTATAGTATTATTATTTTATTAAAGGTTTTATGCTGACATTTGAACTCAAATAAAAAAAAAATCTTCCTCTATACATAGAACAAAATTTTATAGACGCAATTTTCGATTTTAATTAAGCTTTATAACTACGACAATTAAATGGTTTTAATAAGAAATCATTATAAGAAGTGAAATATATAAATTTCCATGATTACAAGTCTGATGACGTTCTAGTATGAATCAGTTTATAAAATTTAATTGCTAAAATTATAATTTTATTAATATTGACGAGGGATGTACGGGATTTTTTTTTAAATGTGTAGTTTGCAATGACTTACATACTTCTACGAATTATTATTTTAATAAATTCAATGATGCACTGTATAAAACTATTTAGAAGATCCTCTAATTTAGGGTATGACATGTTCGTGTATCTCGCTATTCTGCTCGTCAAGAGAGAAAAAAATGAGTGGCTATCATATATTTGCATAATGTAATTTTGCAGTGAGAAGAATTTCATGCTGTGTATCTCAGTTTTTTTTTTTTTTAAATGTATACAAAATTTAATTCGATTTCTTTTCTAAAATATTTAGAGAAAGAGCCGAAAACTCAACTAAAAAAATAGAGTAATCTTATTGCAAAAGTGACAAAATTTGAAAATTCTGATTTAAAAGTAATAAAATAACGAGACGAAAAAGTGAGATCCAGAATTACGTTGTTCATGTCAACTTATATCAAATTAAAGACCATTTCTTTAAGAACATTTTTCCACTGGTTTCACAATTTCCCATTGGAGTTTCTATTTCAGTTAAATTAATCAAATTATTGTTATTACTCATAGTATAACAATTCCTAGCAATTGTAATTTAACAGAACCCTGAAATAAGAACATTTTTATAATTCTCACATACCACGACTTATGTTCCACGACATATTAAAAAATAATTTAATAACACCTAATTATTACTTAATTACAAACTCACCATTACATAATTGACATTGTTTTTCATAATAATTTTCATGATTTTGATGATGATGATAATTATGAGTATGATGGGTATGATGATTTTGATAAATTAATTGTTGTATCGAATTTTCCAACACAAATAATTTTTCACTCAAATTCGAATGATATTTATTAAATAATTTGTAATCTGAAAATTTTTATATTTTTAGGTTATCATTATTAATATAAACTGGAAAATGGAAAAGGAATTATTTTAAAAGGATAAAGTTTTGTAAATCTGGAGATAAGAACAATGCAAATATTTTAAGTTTTCCTATTTGAAAAATCAAAAAATATTTGTTTTAATCATTTGACCTTATGATACAAATTTTATGATTAATGACGGGGTAATTACAGTTTTGGAAACAAAAAAAAAGCAATTACGGAAAGATGGCGTGTTCCAAATAGGGATAGTGTGTGTAAACTGTAAAATATCAAATGTCATTAAATAATTTGCATAGTCACTAAATGGCATATAATATAATTTCTTGCATCCTTGAAGAAAATAGTAAAACACCAGATAATATTGCGCCAAAATATATGCAATTATTTTTGCAAATGAAAAGCTCATTTTATTTTAATATGAAGTGATCGCCAAAATATATGCAAGAATAATTTATAATCATTTTCGTATATGAATATAAATATGAGCAATTGAATGACATGAATTATGTTAAGTTTTAACTGTCAACCTAATTTAAAATACTATTTGGAAAACTTCACTTTCTGAATTTATAATGATAATTTCAATATAAAATATTGTAAAAAAAAATTACATTGCGTATTCCTTGACATTGGACCAACAGAAATATTATCAAGTGAACCACCAAGCATTTCGGCTAAAACATCTTCAACATGATTTCTTATTTTTTCTCTATCTAAATTCATGCCATATGTTGATGGTGCAGGACTGTACCCAGGTAAATCTAAAATGTATTTGTAATAAAAAATTATTAAATTTTTTTTTTTTACAAATCGTAATTTACTTACAGTTTAAGCTTCCTGTCATTGACATTCTATCATCTATTATTGGAATATTTAGTTCACTTCTGGCTTTCATCGGATGATAAATTTCATTTTCGGCCAATGTTTGTTTATTAATCCATTCAGTTGTACGACATTGTGATGCTTTACTTAAATTACATAATTGGCATTCCCATCTTGCTGATTTTGGTAACCAATAAGAACAGTTTTTACCACGACATATTGATTTCTCGCAACTGCAACAAGGTACACAACTATAAAAAAAGCAAGAATTAATTGAAAAAAGCCGTAATTGGATTTTGAATTTTATTTTTTATAAGTTTACATTTTAATGTCATCAACATCTAATTCTGTAAAGCAAACATTACATGGTTCTGGTTTCTTTTTTTTGGCTCTGCGATCAGTTAATTGACTGAAATAAGAAAAACAAAACAAAAAGTGTTATTCTACATAAACAAATGAAAAATTTAAAAATAAAACTGTGATGGATGGCAACTATTCTTACAACTAATTTGTTTATAAAGGCTTAAATAGCTATAAAGGTACTTAATAAATACATAAATTTTCTGAATAACGTTAATAACAGTTTTTGTTTCAGAAACATGTATTTAAACTTTAATAAGAATTGATATTGGTTGTTAAGTTCAGAAGATGAACACGGAAAATACTCCTTTTCGAGAAGATAACTCCAACAGCTTGATTTTCTCCTATGTTGAAAGTTGTTCCAATGATATCAAAGCAAAATTAACTAAGATACGGCTATGCAAGGTTCGTGTGCTTTGTCAGTTGATTTAAAAACGACCATATAATTTGCCTTTCAAATATCAATGTCTCTTAAACTAGTTGAATTATCAGTATCAGATCAAAGACAAAGGTAAAAAGAAGATAACTCACAATTTCTATTTTTTAAAATATGCTGGTTTTAATTATTAATTGATGCCAAATTTTAGAAGCTTTCTCTAGATCCCTTTTAATTACTGAGCTTTATATTTAATGATATTTATGCATGAAAATAATTTTCCTCCTGTTATTGTGATTTGGAATGTCAATGTCAGAGAAACCATAGCCTATTTTTCTAGAACAGTATGGTTTTTTCTTTATTCTACGTAATTTTTTAGGTTCAGTATGGTTTTACTACACCAATTTTTTTTAATTTTAACTTGTTTAATTTCATACGTGCACACCGTAATGCATGTGCGTTTGTAAAATTAAATATAAACAAATTATTTATAAAAATTTTATATTTTACGCATACATATTTCCTTTATAAAAGTTTTTATTTGATGTTGTAAGAAGAAAAACTGGCTTTTAAAGATAAATTTTAGTGGTTACAATAAGTTTTTTTTAGTTTAACAAGTTTAAAAGAATAATTTTAGGGTATGAAAACCATATTCTATGAAAGAAGTTCAAAGTTTTTAAATACTAAAACTTTTAGCTATTTAAAATTTTGCTTCAAAATAGCAGAAACAAAAAACTAAATAGAACAAGAGAAGGAAAAGATTTCAAAAGAAAAAACAACAAAAAAGTTGTAATGTTTTTTTCATTGCATGGCTTTGTTTTATTAAAGGAAATAAAATATTTATTGAAAAATACTTTTTTAAGAAAATCAAAATATTAAGAATTATTCAAATAATTTTCTCTAAAATATTTTCACGAAACTGAAAAAACTAAATTGGTTTTTAAGATTATCACACTTGGCATTATGGCCATGTTGCATTACACATTTTTTGTATTCCATTTAAGCATGTGTGATATCTTGAATGTATGACATCTCCCATTAAAACAGCTCACACAAAGTAGTAGCTTAGTAATTCATGTTTATTCTGATAGGGTTTCGTATATCCTTAAATAAGGGTACAATAGATCAACTTCTTGGATCGCTGTACATTAACACCATATGTAAGTTTGCTGCAGATGTATACACATTTGTTCTGATAGATGTCTTTAAATGTTTGTATGAAAAATAAACCGTAAATTTTAAAATTAGTATATAGCAGAATTTTCATACAAAATATAGCGTTTTATTTACAAACTACTAGAAGTCAAGAATATATTGAATTGCAAAATATCCTTAATAATAACGTACCCACATTTCCCTAAAATTTCATTTTAATTTTACCAATCTCTTAATTGGGTAGCAAGTGAATTCGAATTTCACAATTTCACTATCAGGTGAATCCGCTTATTCCCATATTTTTTTGAGGGTTATAGTTAGTAATAAATAAGTAATAACTATTTTTTAATATTTACATACGCAAGTGTTTTTTAATTAATATTTAACAAAAACGCCGCTGTTATATACCAATATTAAATTACCGTAAAGGTCACAATTAAAACAAAAATGAAATTGTACCATTAGTACCCATTAAATATTACTTTAATATTTTAGTTTTGCATCAAGCGTAGCTTGACATATATTTAAATTTTCAATTAATAATTCGCAAATTGGTTTTCGAAATATAGGAAAACATTGGCACTTTTTTTAGATAAAACACTATAGTTGTAAAAATGCTTAAATAAATATTTGGAAATTTACTTATGATTTAGCATGGGTGGATCGTGTGTGTATAGTAAATTAGAAATATGACATCGCATATGCACCACACCATTAGTCAGTAAAATTTTTAAACATAATTTTGTTTATTTTGTTTCTTTTATAGCGAGACTGATTAAATTTGTAAATGAAAATTATGTCACAACCTTATTTTATTCGTGTTTTGTTCTTTATGCTATATGTAGTTAAATTACAGCCAGATGTAGTGTTATTGGAGTACATTATTAAAATATTTTAAATTACAATATTGTAAATTGGGTAAAAATAGTGTAATGGAGCAGAAGGTGAAATCAATGTTAACCTTAAACTTGATAACGAAAATAGAATTATGGTTTTGCTTTAATGAAAATTTATTTTGTTTATGGAAAAGTTCTAAAAGCATACGTACATACCATGTAACATTCCATTATGATTAGCTATAATATAAATAAATTGAAATTTGAAATGCATTTTTTCAATGTGCTTCATTAAAAGCTTATGGTTCATGTTCTCATATTATGTGGTCTTTATTTCAAATTGCAATTGTATGCGAGTTTTATACATTATTTAATTGAATTTTGTTTATATTTAGTTTGAAGATTAAATTTTAAATTATTATAAAACTTGTTTTAAAATTTATTACATTGTAAAGGTGTCACATATAGGCTTCAATAAATGTTTACCCAAAAGTTTAATACGCACACTGTTAAAATCATTTCATTACCATTTCTATATAAACATTTTTATATTTCTATATCAACTATTAATATTATGACTGTTTTAGAATAAAATCTTCGAACGGCAATGACTTTTAACTATATTTAGAAATCTATAACAAGAATAACAAGATTTTATTGATGGCCTTTATTTTTTCTTATAATTATTTGGAATATTTTTCAAGTACACACAACTTATACTTAAACGCAAAGTTTCATATACAACTTATACAAATTTTATATAGTAAAATTTACTAAATTTATTACTAATATTGATTTTTACACATTAAAGATCTAGCATATCAAGGATATTCACAAAATTATGGAATCGCACTGGAGTTATTACTTTTGTTTCTAAAGGTTTTTAACGTACTTCAAGCAAAATTAAAAGTGATGATCTTTAGAAAAAATAAATCTTCTAAAAGTTCTGTTTTTGATAGCTTATTGTTACTAATTTATTCTACTTTGAGAAGGACTACATAGGCACACATTACAATAAAAAAATCTTCATTGAAATTAACATCGTCGCTTTTCATTTAGACAAAAAGTTGTATTTTAATTAACAGCTGAAACAGCTTACTTTGCTAGGAAAATTTTTTTCTACATCTTAAAAAATTTCTTTGGTTTTATCCGAATTTATTAATTTGATCGTAATTTTGTACACCAATCATGTACCTTTGTATAGGTTCTCTATAATAATTATCTCCACATCTTGTATAGCAAGCTCTTTCATAATTTTAATAATAAAAAAAAAATTATTTCTTAATATTAATAGGCAGCTATATGCAATCATTTATTTTAAAGTATTTTAACGCAATTTGCAAGTTTTGCAATTTTTGTGTCAACACGCAGTTTTATATTTAAAAAAAAAGTTTTCTCTTATACAAAAACTGTATACAAAATAGACTGTTGTGTTTACATCAAGTCAATTCAGTAAAACTTGTTTGATATTGCAATTATAATAATTATGTTACTATTATGGAATATGCAAGTATCAGTGCAACTCAATATTTATATAAATGTATGTAAAACAGCATATACATATTTGTATAATCGCATTATATTACTTAACATTTTTGTCATATGAATATTTTTAGTTTTTCTTTAGTTGTTTGACAATAGTGTGCCTATTTTAACATTATGTACATATAAGTTACTATAAGCTATACAAAATGGGCACGAAATTAAAATGCTTTGATTTGATATATTACTGTAATATTTAATATAAAAGTTATAAGTTGAAATTCATTCATTTAGATTGTGTAGCAAAAAAGTTTATTCGGTAATTCGAATAGGCAAATTGTGGGCACACACAAACATTAGATTTGCAGTACAATATTTATAAAATAAATAAAAGGCTATAACAAACCGGTAATAAGGCTTTTTTTTATAATGCAATGCATAATATTTTTTAACTGTACATCTATAGGTATGTATGTATGTTTGCTTGTGATAAACGACTAAACTTTAACCTTATTTGTGAATATTATGGTTTTTAGATACAAATATAAAAAAAAATGTTTAAATTACCAATAATTTATACAAATAATAATTACGGTTATTACATTTCATACAAGTATGCATTTATTTAAGCAATTATACAAAATTTGACACAATTTTTTTGTATTCCTTTTAAAATTTGCAATAATTTTTTAAATACACAAGATTATTTTTATAAAGAGTCTTGTAAACACTAACCTTATTCTCAGCAACATTTCTCATGTGTATGTATGTAGCTGTTTCAATCACGACTAACATAGATTTTTGTAAATGTTTACAATATTAATTCACTATATTAGTTCACTTGTGCTTGGGAATATTTTGTGAGACTCTTATAATGTTTGAGTAAATCTGTAAAGATACCTAAAATAAATCATCAACTACGTTTTCTTTTCTCCTTGTTGAGCACCCCCAGGGGGGTATGGGTCTATTACAAAGCCTCGTTGAGTTTATGCTTCAATTCCGTTTGTCATTTGTGAGTTTTCAATAGTGAAGTGACTATTTATCTATATTATTTTCCGTGGAATATAGTTTCGGACATTTTAAACTTATCCATGTTTAAGATCTAAGAGTTGTTTGTACAGAACTTTTTTTACCGTTGATTGACAATAATAATCGGATAGCATACGAACTTATATTCCAAGGGTATTATAAATTCGCCAC